TCGGAAAGCAGCCGTATTCTCACCGCTGCCCACGGCCCAGTCAGCCACCCTGGGTTGATGCCCATCTCCGCACAGCAATCAAGTGGAAATATGATCTCTATAGCATTTTTAAGAAGTACTCAACACAACAAAACAAACAAGCATACCAACAGCAACGAAATATAGTGAAAACCCTGACGCGGACAAAGTACAGAGCTTATATCCACTCAGTGCAAACTACTTTGCAGGGTAGACACCGTCCATCGCTTCAATAGTTTGTGAGACAAGCAAGAATTCGAAACGTATCACGGGAAATTCCGTCACTCACAACAGGGACTCAGCAGGCGGCTGACCCTTTGGCCAAAGCTACGGCATTAAACGCCCAGTTTGCCTCTGTGACTCGGCCAGATGACCCGTTGCTCTCTATTCCCCCTATTCTCACCCCCTCGGAGCCCTCAGCTTGTTTCACGTCCGTCATCACCACAACTGCCACTGTCCAGCGTCAGCTGAAGAAGCTTCCGACGTGCAAGGCGTCTGGTCCTGACGGCATCCCCAACCGGGTCCTCAAGGCCCTGGCACCATCCATAGCATTCCCTTTGTGCCATATTTTCAACATGTCATTTACAACGGGCATATTCCCTTCCGCATGGAAAACAGCGAAAGTCATACCTGTATTCAAGAAAGGTTCCCGCCACGAACCTGCAAACTACCGCCCTATCTCTCTTCTTCCCTGCGTGTCCAAAGTATGTGAACGCATCTTTTATGACCACTTATACAGACATGTTTCGCCGTTTCTGAGTCCCGCACAATCTGGGTTTCGTAAAGGCGACTCCACCTCCCTTCAACTGACCCGCATCGTGCAGCAGGTGTGCCAGCGCATAGGGATAACAGAGCGCTTGCTGGCATTTGCTTCTTTGACTTGGCCAAGGCTTTTGATACCGTCTGGCATCGAGGACTTTTGGCAAAGCTCGAGCATGCATTCAGGGTACGCAAACAACCACTCTCCTGGCTGAAATCTTATCTCTCTGGGCAGTATCAGTACGTAACTGTGCTTGGCACATCCTCGGTTGCAGAGCCAGTATTGTCAGGCGTTCCTCAAGGATCAATTCTCGGTCCCCTACTATTTATAATTTACGTAAACGACTTACCTGCAGTCTTCCCTGGAACGTCTCTGTTTGCTGACGACACGACCCTTCTCACCTCATCAGCTTCCCTCACTGGCCTGAAAAACAACTTGCGTGCTGGCATTCAGGAAGTTCTTTCCTGGATGTCGTCCTGGAGGTTGTCCCCAAATCTATCAAAAACAAAGATCATGCTCTTCCCGCCCCAGCCGGAGTTCACAACCCTCATCCATGCCAACCTTCCAAATCCAATTGACATAGTGTCTTCTCACAAACACCTTGGCATTGTGATTGACTCTGCACTCTCTTGGGTACCTCACATCGAATATATCTGTAAAAAATCAAGTAAATCCTTAGGAATTCTCTCCCCCCACTGCTCCTACCTCCCACTTTCTTGCAAGCTTCTTTTTTATCTAGCCTACCTTCGCCCAATATTTGAATATGCAGATACGTCTTGGGTTGGGTTATCCTCTTCCGCTGCTGCAAAGCTTGAAATACATCACAAGAAAATCCTTAAAATTCTCCTCCGTCAACCCCGCATGCTCTCATCATCCGCCCTTTATAAAATCGCTCACACAACCCCGTTATCACTTGGACGCAGTGCACACCTGGCTTCTCTTGTCCATTCTATTAAGCTTGAGTTGTGCCCACCTCATCTCATGTGTTTTAATTGGTTCTCTTCTCTAAGAACTAGAAACTCGCTCTTACTCCCTAAGTGTAACTCATCCACTCTTTTGCGCTCCCCTCTCTTTATTGCTTATTCTGTTTGGCTCACTCTACCCAGAGAAGTTAAGGATCTGATCTCACTCCGCCTGTTTAAGATCCGTGCCGCCCCTTATTTACTACGACATAAATAGCTCATTATCCACATGTCCTTTGCGTCTCTGTGTTTTTCACTGTTTTTATTTGACATTATCTTTCTTTACGGAGTTGTTGTTGCTGTTCATTTTGCTACTCTTTCTTTTTCCCTCCCCTTATTTCTATTTATCGCCGTGGTTGGCAATCACCCACTCTCGTAACATTGGCTGGTGTTTCCGCCGAGTCTTGAGATGTTGTAATAAATAATAATAATAATAATAAATGTATGTGAACCCATATATTGTATAGTATGACATGCATATCAAAATGAAGCTCTTTTCATGCTCTATGCCAATGTGTACTTTATTTTCATATTACAATTGAAAGGAACTGCAAAGTCAATATGTAAGGCAAATAGATTGAAAAATTAGCCTTTTGGAGCCATCAACAGGGACATGTACAATCGTGTACATGTACAATCGTGTACATGTACATGTATGATGATTAGTGTACAATCATACTCAAGTACATGTATTTACAGCTACTGTGTATGTGTGTAGTTGTGCTGATCACTCCAACTATTTAGAAGCAAAATAAAATGTAAAAATAAAAAGCCCCCCCCCCCTTGGCTGCATCTTCTTGCACGTGTGCCTTTATCCATTGCCATGGGTTCTGGTACTTCTGCATGACAGGTGCTTGAAATAGCTGTCAAAAACCCAGAAAGTCGTTATTCAAGCAGTGAATATGACCTCGAGGCACTAAAAGCATGTCGCTATTCGCGAATTGTGGTTATTCAGATAGTCGTTTTATCCGAAGTTAAATGTATACAGTTAGATGGGACTTTGCTCTGGGCATGGAAATTCTGTCGTTATTCGCGAATTGTCGTTATATCCGCAGTCGTTATAAGCGAAGTTGACTGTAGAGCTTGCTGTCGCTGCATTTCTGCTATTCCCGCTCCTTTTTGGTGGTGTTGGCATCATTGCATTTACATGTACATGTCAGCAACTTTTGAGCCTTTTATGAAAATATGGGTGCGATTTCAGCGACTTGCACTTGTTTTGGCACGGTTACGAAAAGCATAAGTTGCAAAAAGTTATGGCATCTTCAGGGGCGGATCCAGGATTTTTCCAAGGGGGGGTTCAGTTTTCTTCCGCCCTTATAAAGGGCGAAAGAACGGGCTTTTCCAAAAAGGGCCGAAAAGGGCGAAAAAAAGGGCGGGCACCTTTGGGAAAGGGCTAGAGGATAGGCGCTCTGATCCCATTGTCGAGCGCTGGAGCGCAGGTAGTGCTTCAGCCATTTCAAGGAAGTGTTGCTGCGCTCATTCTCCGCAGAGGTGACGGGTAGTGTTGAAGCAATCCGGAGGAGGACGTGGATGTTCGGGAAAACATCAGCATCGCAATGCACAAGAGCTCGTGGGGTAGCTGGAAGTGCACCAGACTTCTCTGTTGCGTCCTTCCATTTCCTGACCCACTTTCGGATGTCAGTTGATATAGTTGAAGAGCTTGGCAGATCATCAGAGTACGTGTCGACCAAGCGTTGAATGTTGGCAAGTAGGCCTTTCCCATATCGGCCGGCCGAAAAATTCGCCCAAAGTAGCCTTTTCAGAATATCGCCGATCTTTTCGCCGAATTCTGAGATTTTACCAAGAAATCGCCGAATATACAAGTACATGTACATGTAATAATAATAATATCTTTATTAGAATGACCCAGAGGCTTGTCGCCCATCAATACCTTATTCCTTGGACTTTTGCTGACTTGGCTCCTAGACTACAAGTACAAGGGGTTCACCGCTTTGAAGGGTGTACATGTACATGTACATGTACATGTACCGGTAAATGTATGAGCTAAAGTGAAAGTAGTATAATGTACATGTTTTGCAGGGTCGTGGGCAACTGGGCATGACCGATTGTGTGCGCCTGCGTCACGGCCCGTGGGCATTTCCCAAATCGGCCGGCCGAAACATTGGCCGAAAATAGTGGTTTTGAAGAAATCACCGATCTTTTAGCCGAATACGCAATTTTCGCACTGAATTCGCCGAAAATTGCTGTTTTAGTGCCTCAATAGCATGCAAATACAATTTCTGTAATCATTGTCTGCGAAAGGTGGCTGCGACTTTAGAGCCGAATTTCCACCTTTTACAGAAATTTTCAGCCGATTCTGGCGATTTTTTCAGCCGATCGAAAAGCCGAATAGCCGAATAGGCCAAAATAGATGGCCGATTTGGGAAAGGCCTATGGGCAAGGTGTTCGTCTGAGGATCATATCAATGTATCAATGTAACATCTGCATGATTCAGCTCGGGTTATATATGCGCTACGGCAGGATCCTAGGAGCAATTCGCATGCCTGGCTTTTGTAAAAAAAAAAAAATGCACCATGGTCGGAAAAATTTTAGGGGGTTCCTTCGAACCCCCCGAACCCCCCCCCCCCCTGGATCCGCCCCTGGTCTTTAGGAAAGGGCTGGAGTGAGTGTGCAGGGCCATACCCATCCCGGCAGGTCAAGCCATGCCAGGACCTTTTTTTTTAAAGTGGACCCACCTAATTCGTGCAAAACGGTGTTATTGGTCATTAAAGGGGAAGTTCACCCTAAAATGAAAACTTCACAACCTGTAGTGAAAAATGCACTGATTCCAATGGTGATGGTCCCAGGTTGATCGGAGCAGCCGTTCCCGAGTTATACCAGCTTGAAGTTTGCACTAAATTTGGTGACATCATGATGACATCATTAACTTGTCCAGACCAGGCCGGATTTATGACTTCAGAGAGAGAGAGAGAGACTTTGTATGGGAGTAGATGGGGAAAACTCAGTATTTCGGCTCTCCATTGTCCCAAAGAAGTCAGATCATTTTCAAACTTCGGTATGGGACATATGGCACCCTACCGGATCCTGACTGGAAAAATTCTAGTATGAAATTCATTGTTGCAGAGAAACAAGAAAGAAATTGGTTTTTTCCCATCTACCCCCAAACAAAGTCTATCTCTCTGATGTCATAAATCCAGCCTAGTCCGGGCAAGTTAATGACGTCATCATGATGTCACCAAATTTAGTGCAAACTGCAAAGATATTATTCTCTACACCTGCGTTTCGTACCGTGTCTCCAGATCTGGCTGTTTGACTTGCTAACAATGCGATGGACGCATCTACCAAACCGCCTCAAATGCAGCCGTCCTACTGGCGATGTCTGCTCCACCAGTAAGTCAGTTTAAAACAAGATCAGAATCAAGGGTTTTCAATGTTTCGATACCAGCCTTGTGCTGTGCAAGAATGCAGCATCGATGGTTAGCAAAGTACAGCATACATGCAATAACTGGCATGCACCTTTCTCAAGTAGACTACCTCAATTTTAACCAAAGAGTGATGAAACACACGTCCTGCTCACTTCAGAAAGGTGCCAATCCTCCGACGTATAGCTTTAATAGAGGGCATTCGCTTTTGATCTACAGGTTTGGGTAGAAACTACTTCTTTCAGGAGGCGCATTCCTTTTTTCTACTCAAAAGAGTAGATTCTAACAATTTTGCTGTCCCTTCTTTTATTGCTGTCCTTTGTTTGCTTGCTTGATGATGGCAGTGCTGCCTGTAGAAGAAGGAGTCTTGACCTTTACTGGAAGTAAGTGACATGAAGAGTACATAACCGTAGGTGCTCTTGGTGACATGGAGTGCACATCTAGTGACTCCGGGTGTAGCTCAGAGTAAAGTAGCGAAAGTCACGGTGCTCGCTACCACTCCCATAGTCCCGGTGCTCGCTACCACTCCCATAGTCTTCACGTGCATCGTGGTATTGGTGCAAGACAAGAAGAAACATGTAGATATGGCTGTGCTCAGTGTGTGCTGCAAGACACAGTAGCTGGGAATGATGACAGCCATTCCAGGGCATTAGACACCCTTAGCAAAAAACGTTGTTGTAACGGCATTACCGTAAGGGGGAAAATACTGTAAATATACAAAATTTCGGCACTTCACGATTTTTGACATTTCGGCGGCGATTTATTTTCGGCGTGGGGTAGAGGGCATGGTATTGCGACAGATGCTGTGAAAAATTTCATCGGCGTTTTAATTTAGGCGTTTTGGGTCGGTGCCGAATATAGCCGAAATTAAATAGCTGCCGAAAATTTGTATATTTACAGTACCGTGATTTGGGTTCGACCTTTAGCAAGATGCACGTTATTTTAAGCACGCTGTTGCCACGAGAATAGCTTTTATTTCACGCGGTACAACCATTTATGTCACCATATACGCAATACAAGGTGAAATGCGTACGGACTATGCAATGTTTGGCCACAAAACGTACCGTTGGTCAGAACGATAAATCAGCCCCCATAACGTTTTTACGCTGCAGCTTCAACGCTATTTGGGCGATCAAGGTACAAGTACCGTAAAAAAATAACGTTACCGTTGTTTGCTAAGGGTGTCTACTAGTAGTATTGAAACACTATAATATGTTGCCGTGAGCAAGGAGTTGCGCTTGCAGCTTTCGGCAATATGGCCTATGTCCATGTAATCACTGGTGAAAGTGGCGAAGCACTTCAGGTAATACGCCATTTGCAAGCAACATTGTCAGCTTCATGGCATGCACACTGAATAACACTATAGGCAGTAAACTCCATTAGGTGTGAAGAGCCTCGGATTTTCTGCTGAAGCATTTCCAAAAATTAATCCATGGCATGCACACTTAACATCATGATGTGTTTCTAGCCAATTGCAGTGCACCCACCCACACTCCATCTTAGGCTGTTTAAGCTTCTTCAATTCTACCAAGTTTTCTCAGATGATGCCCTCCTGCTTAGACGAAAACTCGGAAGAAATGAAGCTGCAGCCAAGGATGGAGGGTGTGTACGTGCGCATGTGTGTGTGGGGGGGGGAGAGGGGGGGGGGGGGGGGGGGAGGTGCGCTGCAGTCTGCCTTGACACAGACTGCGATGGGGTTACACTGCACTTCTTCTAAAACGATGTGTTTATACTTTCTTCAATACTCGGAGGCTCCACTGCAGCCAGCCAATCCTTCTTCCAACACCTTCACAACCACCGGCTTCCACTGCAATAGTTGAATTAAATTAGTCTCCAAGTTTTCACCCTTGGTGCTTCATCAGGGAGCACTACTGTGATACTCCCGGATGAAGACGAATTTAATTGCAATTGCAGTGGAAGGGCCTTGGTTGTGAAGGTATTGGGGAGATGATATGTTATAATTACTAGTTTAAAAAAAATAATAAAAATATACATGTGGTCTCTGCTGGGATGACAGCTACACCATAGGTCAGTGGTCAGAGCATTGCTGGCCTCTAGCGAAGGTCCCTGGTTCGATTCCTGGTGGTGACAAGTCAATTGTTCTTCAGACTTTTCCCCTGTCCATTCCCTCAACTTATGAATATTTTTATACATGTACATGTATGTATGCAGATAAAATGTTCCGAGCAGGGACATGCCACATCTACAACATAAGAACTGGTTGCTACGAGCAATTTCCCTGCACAGGGGATGTTCCACCGCCCGATTCAGTTCAGGTATGTTCTAACTCTGAATGCGCCGCACTTCACTGTACCAGAATGATGTCCGTGGCGCATGTACTGGCCACCCCCCCCCCCCCCCACACACACACAAACACACCTTTTACCTCCCCCCCCCCCCCCCCCACACACACACACACAGACATGTGACAATGATATCTTCATTTTGCAGGAACCCATTCGACTCTGATGGCAACTGCTCAGTCTGACTCAAAAGTAGGTCGGTCTCTGCCAGCCAGCTTTCTTCCCACGGTCTCTGCCAGCCAGCTTTCTTCCCACGGTCGCGGTCTAATGGCATCACGTGGTCCATTTTCTGTCCGTCTTGCCCTTCCAGCAATTGTCATATGACGTGGACGGTTCTCACGCATACCTGCTAGCACCCGGAGGAGTGGGCAGCATGGCTCCATCTCAGGTGTACTCGTTGTCCTTGCCTGAGGGTGAATGGAAACGAGTGGCCCAGCGAGGACATCCGCCTAGTAACCGGTATTTGACATGTTGTGCACCTGTGCTGATACTGCTGCAAACCGTATGCATAATAAATGCACTAACTGACCTAAAATGATAGCAACAACACAACAGAAGCAAAACACTCTATAACATAATGCCACCTGTCGTAACCATCTCTAGTGTAATACCCATGCTAGGATAGTGGAGGGAGGGGGGGGGGGGGCAATATGAACTGAGACGTAGCGACGCCAGTGGTTCTATCAGCAGAAGTTGGCTGCTCGGAACTCAAGTACCTGTCAGTCAGCGGGAAGCACACGCTCCAACGTTAGGAGCAGCCAACTTCTTCTAATACTACCGCTGAAGTTGAAAAAATCCCTGACTGCACCGTACCCTGCAGTGTGGCATTGTATTCGTAGTACTATTCGGTACCAATATCTGGAGGGCCATTGGGGCACAGCTAACTGATGCGTGCAAAGGATATAATGCCAGACGGACTGGACGGTAACAGGAGTAGCAGACTACAGTGCTAATGACACATACAAGAACAAGAGCCTGGCAGAAGAGCATACATTGTCGGTCCAAATTTGCTTGGGCCAACCCGGGCCCCGACTACTATACCTACCGGTATCAGCATACCTATGCGACACATGGCCGCTTGTCTAAACCACTCTTCCAAGCAACATACCTATGCGACACATGGCCTTGTCTAAACCACTGTTGCCGGCTAGCAACTGCCGCGTGTACATCATGGCCAAACCGGCGGCACCGCAGCTGTGGCTCTCTAACAGAAGCAATCAGCAGTGGCACTTGTTCACCAGCAATAGCCCCAGTCCGCTCATCCCTTGTCGACTTGCTCATGTGGTGCGCAATAAGCTTGCCATTTAATGGCTCATCTGTTTAGATACAGTCCTATATCAGTCACCTTTATCTAACAGTCATACATGAGCTCATAAATTCACAATAGCAATTATTATTATTATTATTAGAAGCTTCTCCGCGTTGGCATCAATGCAATGTAGATATACACAGCATGTATAGCTTTCGCATAAGCCGAAGCGACAACAGCGAAACAGGATATTGCCTGAGTGATGGCGATATAAAACATATGCGATATAAAACGCGTGACGAAAATAGAATACAATTAAAACAAGCAAACGAGCAGCTCAACCAAGTTGAATTTGAATTTGCTGATCATTACCAGGGTTCATCTGTGAGCAGCAACATATCTCTCCAGGATACGGCCGCTGAGGTAGCTCCACGCCCCGCGATTCTGGGCGATGCTCCTCAGCTCCTCAAGATCTGCCGAGGTCTTGAGGGTCCTCCCAACCAGCTCGAGATCGTGTCTGAGCACGACCGGCAATAGCAAACCTAAACCAAATACGTAACTTGATAGTTGCTCATTACGAGGGAGTAGTAGTAAAATACCATATTTACTACTCTCTGCTTATCGCCAGAAAAGCTTTAAGTCTCTATTAAACCCATCTTTCATTAAGACGAAAATATGTCATCATAAAAGCTGATTGCGAGGCCAGAATTTAGGAAGAGAGTGTCAAAACTTCTTCAAAAGCTCAGAAAAATAGAGTTGGCTACACAATTCTATGGGGAAAGTATGAACCGGCAGCAGCAAACATCAGCAGGGTGTGTATTGCACCATTTGCCATGGTAACAGATGAACAGAATGCTTTGAATACGACTTGCATTGTTGTTCCTGTGTTTACTAGTACTTCGAAGTATATCATGTCGGTTCACCGAACTCTGCTCGGATAGTATTTCATAATTGCAATGTGCTCATTGCTCTTGGGACTGTGACTCGGTATTGTAATGTTACTGAGACATTCAACGACCTGAGCATGAGACCTAGCTCTCACACGCCTCCAACACCTCCAACATACCTCCAACAGCCTTCCTTGGTTTGCGCACTGGAGGTGTGTGAGAGCTAGGTCTCCGGGTGTTGAATGTCTCAGTATCATGTCAGTTTTGTACGCTGTTATCACACTTTCTGACTGCTTATTATCTTGTTACAGTCGTGGATAGTTGCTTCATAACTCGTTTCCATGTGATTTCTTCTATTTTAATTAGGTTTATAAATCGCTCAAGTCTTTACCTGCCGAAAATAGCCATTTTACTGCACACAGCATATGCTTGCTACATGTGGACTCTCTTTGAATGTTTTCTTCTCACAGCGAAGGTGCTGGTATCATCTCATTTTGGGACTGCTTCTATGTTGTGCTAGGCAAGAAATTTGGTGGAGAGGGCGTGTCAGCAGAAGAGGCAAGCGGAACCTATAGGCACAATCCACTCTACTTGAATGACTTGCTAGAATACCGCACCGATGAATAGCAGTCAGGGATGGTAGTAAAAATACTACTACTCCCTGGTAGCAGCTGAATGTAATCCACTGCCACACTGTTCTGACTACCATGCCGTATTTCCCCGTAAGTTAGTACGTACTAACTTTCGAACTCAGCAGCCACATGAGTACTAACTTTCGGGGGTGGTACTATCTTTCGGGGAGTACTTTTTTTATCGGGGGTAAATGACACGCAGTGGGAAGCCTGCGCAACTCTAGTGTCCGTGTATATGATGTATGTACTGTACGGTGTCTGTACATGTAGGACGGGTACGAACTTACTATCTTTCGGGGTGATCACCTCGGCAGTGGAAAGTGTATTTTTTATAGGGGGTACTAAGTCATTGGGGAGAACTAACTTACGGGGAAATACGGTATTTCCCCGAATATAAGTCACACCTTTTTACACTAAAATTCAAGGGTAAAAAGGGGGGGGAACTTACAATCGAGCGTGACTTACTACTGAAGTCAATATATCAAAATGGGGGTGCGACTTATAATCGGGGAAATACGGTATATGTATTTTGTTTCATCCTATAGGCCATGGTTGGCTATCACCCATATCTCTACATTGTTTTTGGCAGTCTCAACGACATGCTATGAGATATTGATATAATAATAATTATTATTATATGCAGCTAGTCTGAGTCATTGGGGTTGTAGCATAAACAATTATCACTGCTTGAAATGATGAGCCTCCGATGTCGATGCGGTGATGTTCTTCACTGCAGATCCACAAGTTCAGCTACGACACGTGTACGTGGGACCGAGTACCGTGCGAGCCAGACCCCACGCATGGTTTTCCCCGGCCGCGTTGCTACCAGGCTGTCGCGTCCAACTCATCATGTGAGTTGATTGTGTAGATTGGAAACCTCCAACTCTTCATGTGAGTTGATTGTGTAGATTCAAGTGGAAACCTCCAACTCATTATGTGAGTTGATTGTGTAGATTGGAAACCTCCAACTCATCATGTGAGTTGATTGTGTAGATTGGAAACCTCCAACTCATCATGTGAGTTGATTTTGTAGATTGGAAACCTCCAACTGCTCAAATCCAAATACTGTAAGTCAGCAAATATTCGGCGCATATTTATTTTCGGCTATTTTCGGCCTTGTTGTGTTTGGCCGAAAATTTGTTGCGGCCGAAATTTTGTTTTGCAAGGTTCAGTGTGACAGTGTATACATGCGGCAGCAGTAGAGGGCGAAAATTTGATGTGGCCGAAATGGGGTTTAGCCCTGGGAGGCCTAAAATTTGAATGCGCCGAAAATTTGTCGACTTACAGTAATAATATGTTGTTAAAGAGCCTGAAGTGTGTCTTCTTCTTAGTAACGTCAGTTCTTGTCTCCGAGGAAACTGATGTGTGTCCCACTACACTGTAGTCATATTGCTTAGGCCAGGGAGATTGCCACAGTAATATGTATTCCACTGACAATCTCGGAAACCGATGATGGAGCGGGATAAATGTGAATTAAATTTCACTAGTGCTGGCCAACAGCCGACTGTAACAAATTCATACATTTTCTTACGATTTCATACACAAGTTTGCACTAGTGCACGCTCACATGTGTTTCACGTCACGGGGCCATCTTTTGGTTTCAAGTTTGTCTTGGGTGACTGGAAGTTCTTTCCACCGTTCCACCCGCACCTTACCAAGCACATTGTCGTTGCATGCCCTGTTTCTCCTGAAAACATTTCCTCCAATTTCGAATCAATTTTAAACTGATGGACTTGCTAGTTCATGTACTATTATGATGCAGGGTTGGCCCTAATTTCACGCCCCACAACAGGTCTATGGTACGATGACTCGCATTCTCTTGGTTCTGCCTACGCTCAAGTCCATGGCAGTCCATGTGGCTCAAGTCCCGGCTTTTTGCTTGGAACAAGGCCGAAACACACCGCACTAGGGTTCTGCATTTCCGGCCCGGTGCAGGTCGAGGCGGCATCTCATGCTTTTACCGTGCGTGCATTTGCAGATGTATAGTTTGTGCGATGTTTGATGTGTACCTGGCAACACTGTCTAGACGCTGTGATGTGCGGTGGAAAGTGTAGTTTACACACGCCAATCTTCGACAATCCTCCTGATTGGATTTGCTTAATGGGCGATGTCTGGCGCCTGGACTTCCTCGGCTCGCGAGTACGCTGGACAAAGCTACCCATGAATCTGAAGCGACGTACGGCAAGCCATGTGGCCGTCCTGTCGGAGGTACATACACTATGCTAGTGTGGTGCTGTCTTGTGATAAGTCACCTATAGGAAGTTAGTACCGTATTTTCCCCATTAAACATACACGTCTCCAATACTAGTAGTACGTCTCCAACTGCAGTACATGTTGAGCGTGGATCAAAAATATAAAAGGACACGTCTCTAATAATAGTACATGCGAGAATTATGTGATGGGTATTACTGGGGTACATGTACCAGGGTCCACCTTACTTCGTTTTTCTTACCTGTTCGTAATCTTTGTGTCTTTGTACACTGATTCTTACCATGGTTGGATGTATTTACAGCCTTACAGCATCATTATCACGAGTTGTTTGCCACCCAACGCAGGCGATCAATCTTTCCAGAAACAATAAAAGTACACGTCTCCGATACTAGTACAGTCTCCTATAGTAGTACAGGTCTGACCACCTTTGAAAAAATAAAAGTACTGTACATTTATTGGGGAAAATACGGTATGCCTGACACAATCCGTAACCTCCATCCACCTGATAAGGGCCAGCGTACTAAAGCAGGGACTTACACGCCTGGGGTAACGTGAATGGTGTCATAGTGGTGAGTCTGCGGAACCGCTCATGGGCGCTATGTATAGAGCGTGAGTCGCTAGTGAGTCGCTAGTTCATCGCTGTGCCGCGACTTAGCCAAAGCAGCCCAGCTGCTGATGCAATCGCATGACCTCTACTTGCGTGTTTGTATTCTCTGCAGTCTCACTGCCTCTGCGTGTTCGGTGGCATCTCTGAACGAAATAAGACCGTGGTTCGAGAGTAAGTATTACATAGTTGCGTGTGCGAATGGTATGCTGTGTTAGGCTGTGCAAGTGTGTGTCTCAATATAAACCAGAGACCGCTGTTAAACCCCCCATGCTTTACTCACCATTGTCTGGTGTTGTCGCCCTGAGCATGCTATCAGTACCAACTGTACTTTCGAGAGTGCTAGCCGCACATTTTAAAACGCATATACTTTTAAACTCAAAATCACACGGCGTTTAGACTCTGAATGCTGAGTGCGTCGGAATCGACCAACCGTCGCGGCTGCGGCACTGCCACGTATATTATCATTTAACTGCTTTTCATGTGCTGTACAGTCAACTTCGCTAATAACGACTGCGGATATAACGACAATTCGCTAATAACGACTGCGGATATAACGACAATTCGCTAATAACGACTGCGGATATAACGACAATTCGCTAATAACGACTGCGGATATAACGACAATTCGCTAATAACGACTGCGGATATAACGACAATTCGCTAATAAGGACTGCGGATATAACGACAATTCGCTAATAACGACTGCGGATATAACTATAATTCGCTAATAACGACTGCGGATATAACGACAATTCGCCAATAACGACAATTCGCTAATAACGACTGCGGATATAACGACAATTCGCTAATAACGACTGCGGATATAACGACAATTCGCTAATAACGACTGCGGATATAACGACAATTCGCTAATAACGACTGCGGATATAACGACAATTCGCTAATAACGACTGCGGATATAACGACAATTCGCAAATAACGACAGAATTTCCATGCCCAGAGCAAAGTCCCATCCAACTGTAATACATAGAATGAGACTTCGGGTATAACGACACTTCGCGAATAAGGACACTTTTCTGATGCCCCGCCGCCGAGTGTCGTTATATGCAAAGTTGACTGTAGTTTATCATTGCATTAGCACAAAGCCTGTACACGTTGGTGGGAGGTGAGCAGATCGCCTCACCAGCAAGTGGTCAAAGACTGAAAATCCCATTCACTGCATCTGCGCCTTGATCCTTGAAGGGTTGTGGCGCTCCTACAGATGCGGAAAACTCGGCCTCTAGCCGAGTCTGACACGAACCGTGAATTTTTGTTGTACACATTGTCAGTTCAGACGGTTCTGAGTGAGGACAGAAAGTAGGAGACTGGCCTAGAACTTTAGTCATGCTTCTTAAAACTTTGAACTATTGATAGTGTATTGTATACACAGTCACATGTATCTACTAGACGGTTTGATCATAATTATAAACTTCGGATGGCCAAAAACGTCGGTCTGACTGGTGGCTTACAGTACGAATGTTGGGCCCGGAAGGTGGGCTTAGACCCCAGTGCAGCAACACACTGGGAAATGCGATGCCTTTTACTGTGCAGCTCTTTGGTGACTTCCATGCATTTTGCAGTGCCATGATGACATGCAGGTGCCAGTGTAAAGCTACACATAGTGACTTAGGACGTATTTTCGCTGGCTTTTGGGGCGTCGTGCGTATGGAAATGCGGGGAAATGGAAATTCCAACATGTTGGAATTTTCAGCGCGTATCAGGTGCCAGTCACTTTGAGGGGGGGGGGGGGTTAAAAGAATATTAGTACTTCAGTACTCGAAGGCGTTGCACGCCCTAAGCACGACTCGAATTGCTGTTTTCTGTGAAAGCCTGAACGCGCGTTTGGGCACGCACAAACCGCAAGCGTACCGCGTCCACACGCCAGTTGGGAACTCAGCTTAACACTCCCAATTCAGGTCACGTGACAGGCATCTTCCATTCCAGTTGTTTCAGCCATTTGCCACCACTGGTGGATTTATTTGGCCAACTCATCCTTGGGAACACGACAGGAATCTGAATAGTGTGTCTGTCCCATTCCATTCCTGCAGCTCCCATGGCTGCTGCATTGGCTATGTTGGCATTCCTTCACTCGCTGAGATGGCTTGGAGAAACCTGATCCTGTCACAACCACACCTGATGGCCCTCTCCGCGGAGAAACTGGGAGCATTGGGAGTGCCGGCTCGATTTCTGGACTTTAACTGGACTGCAGCGGCATCTTCCAAGTGATCATTCATCTTCCTAACTGGCAGTTCAACCTGAGTTGGAGAAGTTGGAGACTATCAGGTACCATGGCTATCAGTGAACGGCTTGGCTGGCAGTCACATGCTCACAGCAGCTCATCCTGAAATTACTGCTTATCTCATTCACAATGGTGAGTGGCAGTGAACTACAACATGTTACTTGAAAAAAATTCTATACCGTGACGCACTATCATTTCCAGCTTGCACAGTCGTTATAAAACCATGTTCTCAGCGGATCGCGTCCCACTTGAATCTGTCCACGCTACCGTAAAAGCACTCGTAGTGCAGTAGTGTCCATGTACAGTATAATAGCTAAACAGCGTAAGCTGCCTACGGTCATGGTTAGGACCCGTACAGGATCCACTGTAGATATACATGCTGCCTATTGGCTCACCCACATGTACTATGCTACCTCTGTTATGATTGTGTGTGTGTGTGTGAGTCTGTGTGTGTGTCTGTGTGTGTGTCTGTGTGTGTGTGTGTGTGTGTGTGTGTGTGTGTGTGTGTGTGTGTGTGTGTGTGTGTCTGTGTGTGTGTCTGTGTGTGTGTCTGTGTGTCTGTGTGTGAGCAAGAACCAAGCTGAGCCAAATACTGCATTTCTTTCTGGCTCCGGCCACAGTAGGGTATTATTATTCTTTATTTCCACGATGGCCCATGGCCAATAAGGAAGGCTGTTCAGTACAACGTTTCCGGCTTCAATAGTAGCCAGCTGTTGATATGCAGTCGATTTGGTAAGATTCCTGTACATTAGCCAGCTGCTATGGATTGTCCATCACCACACACCTGTCACCTCAGACTGTTTATTTTAAGATGTTGCCAATTTCCTTATTTGTCAGCTGACTGCTTGATCTGATGTTAGCTAGTACCCTGCTCGCTTCCTTTGCATGGCCGCCATATGAATACGCTGACATTTGTGCCTGACATATCCGGATGAGATCCGGCTTAGATTGATATGGACTATGATTCAACAATTTCCACTGGAGTTGCATTCTTGTCAAGCTTTGGACGGTTTTTGAATTGATGCTGCATTCCCAGTGGAGCTGAACTGTGGCGGACTTGCCTCCGAGTAGCCCGCCTTGGTACTCCCTACATTGTATTTCCTTCATTGCCAATGGCCGCTTTCTGCTGCTATAGTGAAGTAACGTTACTTGTAATGTTACCATATTGGAAGGTCGCTTTAAGGTTTTGCAGCTCCTACTGTAAATTCAGGGACATTGAAAAGTGCAGTAGCAGTTGCGAAACCACATCTAACGTTAGGGCAAACTGCAAAGATGTTTATAGTCCGACTCCCTACGTGTTGCCAAGACCATTATTAGTCATGGGGGGGGGGGGCTTCAAGCTGTTCACTTGCCATTGTCGGTCCAGTAGTGCTTTACTCTTGCTGCTACAGTACAGCTGTAACATGAACATTACCGTACTACTCATAAGTATCAGTTTTGAGAACTCTAAAAACTCCACTCTGTACTGTAGCCTTGTCATCCAACCCGTAACGCGCAATCAGTCCTTGGCTACAGCACACAAACCAATTTTCTCCAAATCTGTTTCACCCAGGAGAGCATTAGGGATATCCATAATAACATTGGGAGAAACACTGGTCTGCATGGAGTAGCCAACTTCAACTGCCAGTGGCTGTTGTGTGGTATGCCTTATGCCTGGGTCACCTGGTCACTGGGTCTACAATAAGCCGGTACTTGCAACTATGTACAATCATACTACACTCAATCTGCAGACAGAACTGTTTCGTACAATCATACTACATGTACTTGCAAGTCGTTGAAGACAGCTTAGCATCGGTATCGGGGGGGGGGGGGGGGGGGGGGGGGTAGCCTGTGTATGGGCACTACCACATACATGGACATGGTCTTTGTACATGTATGTATGCACTCCGCTATCAGACCGGAAGTTGGGTATCCATATGACCCTTGACAAGTGACTGAGGACGTGAGGTCTAGCCCGCACTGCCCACCGACCATGGTGGGCGTGGCTCGAGCCTCACAGTCACGGTGCAGGCGCGCGCGCGCGAGTGATGCTTGTCCAAGTAACCCATAATGTATTGTTATTAGTTGTTGACAAGGCTGCAGTGTTCACCTAGTACCTAGCTGCTCAGTGAGTTTATTTTGTTGGCGTTGATAAACTAAAGTTCGTGGTCATGACATAGTGCCATACTAATGTTACTTGGCTGAGAAGTGTATGATACTTGATAGATACGTCGCGTGCCCTCTTCGCGGTCTTCCTCCAGTTCCTGCGCAGACTGCCATAATAACTGGTGTACATCAGCAGAGAGTCGTGAAAACCCTGACATCCAGGCGCACGCATGTAGCTACATGTTTTGTTTTCTTGTTTTTTCTACAAAATCCACATATCTCCAGGCCGCGTGACTGGGGTGAATAATGGAGTGTGGTGGTGGGGCCCATTAAGCTCCGCCGACCAGAGGTCTCGGCTTCATAGCTCCATGGACGCACCAAAGGGATATTGGGTAGGGAGGATTAAGTTGAAAAAGAAAACGGAAGAAAGAAAATGGAAAGATTGTATTGCTCAGTGAGCAAAAGAATAAGTTGAGTATTGATGTGAACGCTGTAGACTTTTAAATTCAAGAGGAGACTTGTCCAAGCAGGGTAGGACACTGTACCCTCTCACTCGCGTATGCTATGAGTGGCCCAATGCCAGTTCGTTTTGAGGAGATGGTGATAAGCTGCTGTCTTGAACTTTTGGATGTTCTTTGGGTGAAATGGGTGGGGAACGATAGAGGAAGGCAGCTGGTTCCAAATTGGGATGACGGAGTGGGGAAAGGCTCGGCTCACATTGTTCCGGGAATTGGCAGGAAGAACATTCTGTAACTGATGGGGATGCGCGGTGGATAGTCGTACAGCCTGGCGGGTGAGGCGTCACAGGCGTGTGGTCCTGGGCTGGTGTGTCGGGGGTGAAGCCATTCTGGAGAGAAGAGAGGGAGAATTATCGCAATGTACACTGTAGCTACAAAGAGGGTCACCGACTCGCCGATTGTGTCCGACTCGTACTCGTAGGTCTACTCACCACCACCAGCAGCAGCAGCAGTTCCACGGAGGCCCCTGCCTAGCTGTCTGCTGCTCTGACACAACGGCAACCGGTTACCCTGCCTGCTAGCACAAGATGATTATTGTCAAAGACGATGAGTTGAGCTCCTTGACCTTGTGGATCCATCAGTTCACGGGTACCCGATGCCCTGCACCGACGTTGCATTGACTGCTATAGCGTACTAAGTACATAACATTGCATATTGACATAACAGTACAATAGTATCGGTTCAAGAGCTGTCTATGTACGTCTTATGCTTGTGCCATGCCGCTGCTGTCATATCTTGCTAAAATAGGCAGCCACCCCCGTCCAAAGTGCCAGGGAGCCCCACCACCATAACAGTTCGGCCCATACCGACTACAAGCACCAGTCCCTCGTGTCTTGCTGAGTACATGTACAATGTATGTCCTTTGTACTTTTGCTACTGATCGGCATTCTAGACTTTATCACCAACAACTAACTTAGCTGCACAAGGTCTAGTATTACGAGCGCCAGCGTGTTACTCACCACACCTGCACGCGCTACAGACTGGTTCATCACCCACACGCCAGGCACTGGTAGAGTCTGTGACCACAAAGGACGGTTGCCAGTCCATACTTCTAACTGGAATTTGGGTGCAGCACCAACTAACTTGCCAACAAGCAACACCGAGATCAAAAGAGTGGACACCGACTTGACGAAGTCGAACGTAGTCGTTGAGATGCGTGGGGCTCCTGTGGCCAAGAATTATCACTGCAACATTGTAGTCGGTGGATCTACGAGCTGTTCAGACAGTCATGTAATTATGAGTAAAAGCTTGTACTAGTAGCAACAGTACTGGGGGTTATGTACTCTTGCTAGTAGTATGTCAGGAAGAGCCAAGGGCATACCGTGGGTAGAAAACTCTTGCCTCTCCATCTTTGGTCCATGCGACCTATCACCTCTTTATTTACTTGGTCCAGGGAGTCGTACTCAAACGATTCCCTGGTTCGGTCTGATCCTGAACTCAGCCTCATGCTCCTGAGACGAGTAACTCAGTTGTGCGCAAACCACTGCATACTGCCGATACTACGATAGCCATACATATACGGGCAGTACTTAGACGACTTTTACTATTAGTACCCTGCACAAACACCTCCCGGCCGGAGGCAATCGCGATCAGCTGATCGAGGTCCTCGACTCGATCGAGCCGAGCTGAAGAGTGAAGTGAAGACCAACGATTTGCAGAACAGTCAGTAGCGCTAGCCTAGCATAGATCAGACTCTAGTACTAGTAGTACTAGTACTAGTACTAGTAGTAGTACTGTAGTAATGTTGAAGTACGCAAGTATGATAGGACATACATGTATGTACATGTACTTGAAACTACCGCCATTCCGGCAGCGCTCTCAGCTGCACGATAACTAATCATCTGTCTAACTCTAATGTCTGAAATACTACAATCATAATGATAGGCTGTATGTTACTTTGCCAATATTTCGCCCATTGGGCATGTCACATGATGTGTGTAGTTGAAAAAAAACATGATCACATGCTACGAGTCATCATGAGCTAGCAGCTAGCTAGCTAGCTGGGCGCGAAAGTAACAAGGCGCAGCTGATCTGACGAAAATGGCACTCGTAGACTACGAGATCAGAGTCGTACTCGACTCGTAGCTCTGCACTGTCTTCGTGCTAGCATGCATGTAGCGTGTAGGTGGGCTAGCGAGTACATGTAGCGGACTAACCTGCAGCAAGTGCGATAGAGCGGCATGAGTGTTTTTCGAACAGCAAAGTGTCACCAGTGGTCACTGAGCATGAGCCTCCTTTGATTTGAATTCGGAAGTTCACAACACCAACAACACTGGACAAGGAGCAGAGTTGACGAAGTGAATAATTGCAGGTTTCTTGCTTCCAGCTTACACGTTCGAGGGATAGTTTGCGTCCCAAAGTCCCAGTCTTTGATACCTGCCATTGAGCATGTAGAATGCTTTCCCAACTATTTTCTCGAGTATTGATGTAAGTTCTTTGTAGGTAATTTTCTCCACGTTTCCGGGACAAGTTGGTGAGGTTATTGTGTTCTGTTGTTGTTTCGTGCGAATGGCTGAAGACTCGGCTTGGGCACGCTTTATCCAGCTTATTCTTCATACAAGGCTGTCAGAACAAAGAATGTCAGGGAATATGTAAGTATTACCCAAGGAAAACAATAAGTTGTTACTGTGCTGATCATCAGCAAAATAGTGTTGTATATAAAATTTGTAATTATGTTTCTGATCAGCCACACGTGTGTTTGCTTTGCTTGTCACCCGAAGCTTAATTTTGATATGCCTGACAACCGAACAAAGGAGATGAGCCCTTTTTCCCAAGCCTGTACTATACAGTCTCAGAATGAACACGCCAAATAATTATGTGATGGATTGTTGAGTTGCTGAAAAATGTCTATTTTGATGATAGTTAAGTTGTGAGCAATCTCTATGCCTCTGCATGGCTTGTGTCAATCTCATACTCACGGACTGACGCACAAGTCGCACGAAGCTGCATGTACCCAGATAAGTAGTTTCAACTGCAGTCAGACCTCGCTTATCCGGTCCTCTTTTATCCCGGATCCCTCGCCATCCGAAAGAAAATCGCTGGTTACCAGTTTACAGTATACGTTACGCATACAACATAACCGGACTTCGCGATCCGCATCCCGATGCATGGTTTTGTGTACAAACTGGTTCAAGTATGTACAAAAAGCCTTGTATCCTGTTGCAGAAGTTAGAATCAGGGAGTTGTACAAACAAATGGGGTCGGTAGGACTCCTTGACCTGCTGGCTGCATGCGGACAGCACTCAGTTTTCTTCTCTTTTTTCCCCCGCTTGTTTCACACAATGTCCACGCTAGCTGTACTGCATGGGGCCCATATACATGTTCGTACAATTGCACACCTTTTGGTGTGCCATATGCATGTACAGTATGTGTGTTCGATTTTCCAGTTCCCTCGCCTATCTGGATTTTTTGTGGAAAACGGATGTGTGCGGTTAAGCGAGGTCTGACTCGACTGTCCTTAGAGGAGTGTAACTATAACTAAACTGTTTTGCTTCGTGAAAATTATCGATAATGCCGGATGGCCCCTCAGCCAGATTGCTTCGTCACTGCACATTGCCAGACATTTGTGAACTCCACAGGGGGGCTTGGTTTTTCAGCATGAGGAGTGGGCGTGTGTACCTGCATCCCGCTTGTGTTTGACCGTGACACGTGCGGTATGTGTGTATGGCCGTGTGCTTGCTTGCTCTAGGTCAAATGGATGATGTACTGGGTGGTGTTTGCCTTCTTCACTACCGCTGAGACGTTTGGAGATATCTTCTTATCTTGGTGAGTAACAGTGATGTCGTGTTGCCAATACATGACTTGCACAAAGATTGTCTGGGTTCGAGACGGGGCAAGTGCACCTTCTGACTCTGACTTCCCCACCTTTTGAGTTCGTGACTTTCGAAGTTTCGCTTTTTGCCTGACGAACACTGAGCTAGTTTTTTCGGCTAGAGAGTAGAGTTGTTTTGATTCGGCTTGTATCGTCATGCCGAAGCGCTGCTACGCTCCTGAATGCACTAGCAGACGAGAGATGGAACTGAGGCTCCCATTCCATACGTTCCTTTTCGAGCCGGCCGGCCGGCCGGGAGGCAGAAAAATGAGGGAATATTATTTTAGTATCATTGGTGTAGGCTGCAACAAGCACGTGGTCCTGAAGTGTGACTACTTTCCCGCAGTGGAAGCGAAGTCAAGCACAACGAAAGTTTGTGGACGTCTGAGAAAGAACTCGATTCCCTTCGATTCGGCTGCACTAGCTCCAGAGCGACCCCAGTCTCCTGAGGACAGACTGCGGAGAGGCCAGGAACCTGCCGAGTCAAGAGTGGAAGCCCAAACCACGAAAATGAGGGGTGGAAGGACTGAGTGTGAGAGCCAGATGGCCTTTAGTAGTACTTCAAGTAGTATTTGAGTTGAAGGAGAGAACAAGTGTGCTGGAGAAACGCTGCGAAGTCCTCAGGCCTGATGTGTACTAGCTACTGTTGAAGTCTCACTTGTTCCGATATGAACACTTCATCAGCCCTGACTCTGAGCAGCTGTATCTAGACTTGGACTTAGGCCAGAGACATAGCATTGTAAACCTTACTGAAGCCATTATGTATCCAATGCCTGGCTCTAGTGAGAAAGCAGTTTGGCGCAGGCTCGCAAACTATGATTGAATCAGGGAGTGGTGGAAAGTCACATTATACCTCCCCATGATTAGCTGGTAATGACGACGATGCGGCTCCGGCTGGGTCTCAGTCTTAGAAAGGATTTGTTGGAGCATCATCAAACAGTGCATTCGCCTTCATCATACACTGGCTCCGTTGCCTACAGTAATTCACATTTTGACGGGGCGCGCTGGGACGATACGGAAGGAGCGGCGGGAACCATTGGAGTGCTCATGATGCTGGTTAGCGGAGACTGATGTGTCAGGAACGGGAACGCAACCGCACTACTGTACAGATCAGGAAGCGATGGAAGAGTTGAAACTGCTCAGCCTTCCATGCCGTGTACAGGGACACAAGCGTAAAAATGGCTACATTTCAAATGTGAACTGGCGATGGCATTGTGTGGCGACGAACACAACTGCAACTGTTCAAATTTCAGCATTTCGAACATTATGCTTCCCAACTCACTGAATGGCTCACATGACGGAGTTGGACATTACCAGGCTAGGATTATCATTTGCTGTATTTATGGATAGTCCTTGAGTTTTCAGATGAAGTGCTTTATCTTTTACCTGTCGTTCCTTTAGTATGGCACAATGTCCATGGCTGCTTCCTTGTCTTCATAACAGACTGGTATAATCAGCATGATTCTGCTTTTTTTGAGAAGAAATAAAACTTTCCTTTCGGAAAGGAAGCCCAGAAACGTCAACCCCCATGGACTGTGCTTTATGACTCTCGTCCGTCGACGTTAACCGTCGCAATCAAAATAATAGGAGATCCTCCAGATAGGCGTTAGCCTTTGGGTAATCCTGAAATAAAGATTATTATTAGGCCAAAACAAATAATGACCTTGTTTCCGGTCGCCCGACCGGGCCACTTTTTCCCAAATTCTGATACTTTTTTTTGGTCCCAAATGTATACAAACGGTGGCAATGCCATGTGTGCAAGTGCACTCAACGAGTCATAACTCAGTCAAATCTCAACCGAATTCCACAATCGAAACACCTACAAGGTAGCAGAGATTCTCAGCTGTCGGCTCGAAAAATTCCGGGGTCGATACGAGCTAGAATAACGGAGCTGGAAGCACTCGAACTGTTTGCTTGATTTCTCAGGATGTACGAAAACAGGAATACACCACATGGCTGTACAAGAACAGTGAGTCTGTCAACTTTGACATTTACCCTTGCCATGATATATGTACAATGTACATGTGTAGGTACTCTTGTCCATCAATACCACAACGATTGAGGAACCAAAAAAAAGTATCCAAAAAAAGTTTCAGTCCGGCCGACCGAGTCTCCTTTTTGAGGGGTTGCCGACCGGAAACAAGCCAATTTTTTGTTTTGGCCTTATTAATAACTGCTGCATGTATGTTGTGCTGTGCGAACCGTACAAGATTTTACAGCTCACCCACGCCTTCCCAACAGGCTCCTATATCCCGTACCGTTTGCGTCACTTTGAATATGAACTAGGCTAGCACAGTTATCCTTCGTTCTTTTGATGGCGGCGGGTAGCATGGAACTTGACGTGTTCTTGGGATCCTCGTGCAACACTTGCTGTTCCCGGATGCCATATTATTGGGTGCATCGAGGTTGCTTCTATGCTCACTGTTGTTTAGTAAGACAATTTTTTATAACTATTTCACCGAAGAATAAGGCAAGAGTATTTTGGGTTGGTTTGGACGCCTGGCTTCTCTTCACATAATAATACAGTCATGTACTTCCACTCAGGGAGTAGTACAATACCTGCTTCCACTAACCCTACAAGTGCACATGCATGACTCATGAGCTGCTGAAGACAGTGACGGTACTGATCATGTACATGTACATGCCGTGCACCGTTCATTCATGCTGACAAAAAAAGTACACTACTTGTACACTAGTCTACAGACGGTGTAGGGTGCCCGCAGTGTAGCCTGGGTGCACTTGCCCCGTCTCACTCGCGGCTCGGATCTTTGTGCAAGTCATCTATTCCACTTGACACCACACCTGCCAACAAACACATTCACTGTGCTCGTTGAGGCTCGGTTCTTTTGTGCGATCGCCTGTTATAGAGTTTGCAAGCTCTTAGAAAAGTCAATCCCACTTTCAGAGACAAGATACGAACCCTTTGACCGCCCTTGGCTACATCGACAATAGTAGAGACCTGCCAGAATACTAATTCTTGTCCAGGTGAGGATCATCAAGGAATGGTGTAGATGGGATGGGAGACAACGATAGACAATTGCATACAGCTTCAGATAAGTGAGCTGATCGTCTGTCTCCCTGGTGTGCTGTTGTGTGCAGGGTGCCTCTTTATTATGAGATCAAGATCCTGTTCTTGATATGGCTGCTAGCACCTGCTACGAAGGTAAGTAGAGTCCACACGTACATGGTACACCTTTGTGGTGTCTGACTGCTTGCATTGTTTACAGTTTAGTATAGTGTACAAGTAATAGTGTGGAGATTTATTACACAGCCACCGGCAGACACTCAAGCAAGTAGAAAACTCGACGCACTTGTTATCTCACGTACCAGCGGTCGATTGAACGTAAATTCCTAAGTTCAAACGCTCTTCATCGCAAACAGACTCAAGCAAATCTGTTGAGGGTGGTACCCTTGGTGCATTCGTTTCCGCTTTGCTGCGTGGATGTCCGGCATCGGGAGAGCACACCTGTCTCAGCAAAATTGCTTGGTATTGTGTATGACTCCGGGTTGAGATGCGTTCTGCGGCACATATAGCCTGTATTTGCTCCAGTTTCTGTTCATTCTGTGTATATTTACGGAAGAGCTGAAGCTACACATAGAGTTCAGACTCAAGAAATGCACTGTATAAACGTTATTTTCAGCAGTATCACGTATCCTTGTCTGTTGTTTCTGTTACAGGGATCAAGTATTTTGTACCGGAAATTTGTCCACCCATACCTGATGAAAAACGAGAGGGTACGTAAATTGGTATGCATGCTCCAGTGGTGCTAACTGCTACAGTTGTGAATTGAGGAATATCAGTGCCAATAGTTGAAATACTCGATACTATGCATATGCATATGCATGTAGAGTGAGACATCAGTGTAACATACCTCCAAAGGACAAACATCAGTGTGGTGCAGTACTCGTTATCCAACGTCACATGACTGGGAGGAATGGGTAAGACCCCCCCCCCCCCAAAAAAAAACTTTTTATCCTATGCAAAGAGAACGGTATGTTCTATCCAGGGTGTTGTCTACTGATGTTTCGTTGTGGCTGCATGTCAATCCATGTAGATGGCTATTGACAGGTGTTAACCAGTGTGTTTTACGATTCTTACGTCTCTCCGGTGTTGGTTGCATGATGGTACTGCAGGAAATTGATAACTACATTGAGCGTGCTAGCCAGAATGGAGTCGGCTTGCTACGACGTGCCGGCCAGCGTGGCCTGCAGGCCGTCGCCACTGGCATGGTTCAGTCCAACGTCGTCAGCATGGTAAGTTGTGTGCACGCATGATTTTTGGAACACGGTGTTGTCGAGTGTGAAGTTGCAATTTGAATTTCTGGTTAAGACTTTTGGAACAGTGTGTGCGGCTAACGTGACGGGGAGCGTTACCAGGTAATTTTGCCGGCACCACTTTGAACAACAAAGCTTGTCAATGGTGTGCACTGGCATCTGATTGGTACTGCTTATGCAGTGTTGATGCACGTCCTTTTAGCATCAACAAAGCAGACTGCCTGTTTCTTGTGACAGTGCTTGAATGCCCTGTGGCAGAGCTCTTACACACATTCACACAATGATTAACAAGGCTATTGCTGCGACGCAGTGTTTCAGGGTTGAACCATCAAGCACCAGGCCTCAAAATAATATCTACGTTGCACTTCTGCCTCTTTGCTCCGAGTGTTGCTTCGTAATTTTCTCCTTGCACGCTTGCTGCATATCTACTCTCTGTTTGACGGGTGTGTTGAATATCTACTCTCTGTTTTGATGGGTTTGTTGATTTGCAGGGTCAAGTCTACTTTCAGCAGCAGCTTCAGCAAATAATCCCTGCCACTGAGGGACAGAATCCAGCCTATGATGACGCTCAGCTGCATACACCTGCACAGCAGAGTCAGCAGCAGCAGGAGCAGCAGTCCAGTACCGTAGCACCAGCTGCTCATGCTGAGCCCAGCATGCATCATACTGATCCTGCTGCTGCTGCCGCCGCCGCTGCTGTGCCTGCTGGCACTCACGTGGATGGTGGTGCATCTGACCACCCTCCCCCGTATGCTGCTACTGTTTCCAGCCGGCCGCCCATCAAAACCGAGCCAGCCCTGGACGACATGTCTGGTGGTTCTGGTCAGTTTGTCCCGCTTACTCCGCCTCTCAACCGCAGCCGTCCAACTTCTGGTGCTAATGCAAATGTAACAGGAGCTGCTGCTACTACTGCGGCTGGGAATCGTCGTACCACCAAGACTGCTGGTGCAAGAGCTTCATCCACTACTGCAGTAAGTTTATGCTTATCAAACATTTGTCTTATTCACTGGTTCGAAACCATTATACCGAAAGGGAATTTAAAATTATACGTGGAAAGATCTCATGCATTTGTGTAGGCATGGTGATGAGCAGTCACAATTCCCAAGCCTGTTCCCAGGATAAAGTTGCTTAATGCATGTTATGGTACCGATAGCACTGCAGACACTGCGAATATTGTTCCTCCTAGAGGATTATGACATCAGGGTCATCGTAAAGGTTTGTCTCGTGTCGGTGGGGATAATTCCAATTCCCTTTGTGCCTGAGTTTGCGGTGTCCAGTGTGGGCCAATCTGCTTTGCCATACCAGAGGCGGATCTAGGGGAGGGCGCGGTGGGCGCGCGCCCTCCCCTCAAATATTTCGATTTTCTTTAGTGCATGCACGTGGGCAGTTGCGCAAGTGTTTGCACATACTGTGACAAGTAGTTTCTAGTGTCAGATAAGAAAGTTCTTCTGAACACGGAGTAGTTGTTTGACTTTTAGTTTTGAAATTAGTGTTCAGTTGACGAACTTGTGTAGCTAAGTCGGTGAAGGGGATGGCGCACCGCCCGCCCAAGCGGCCAGGGAGCCAACAAACTCTCCACGGATTTTTCGCGAAGCGAACTTGCGCTTCGTCAGCTGCTCAGTCGAGCGACCTGTCTTTGGAGGAGAATTCGGACCACAGCGAAGGTCCTGAGATTGAGGTCTGCTCAGACTCTGATCTTCCCCAAATGGAATCTGAAGTAGATTCTGACGACGATGGTGGGACTGTCAGTAGTAGTGATGCGAGTCAGGAGCGTTTACCTGCTGAAACTATCGCAGATGACGACGTTGTGACTGTCACGAATGATGTGGCTGGTGGCACTGCTACGCAGCATTATTGTTCTCTATCTCAGCATGTCTTGAGTTTTGAAGCACTATCTTTACACAGTTCAATGTAGTACGGCTATGTTCTACTACAGCCAGAGTCCTCAATGAAGTGGTTGAAAAAGTGGGAGTGAGTGCATGTGCTAAAATATTAATTCTACATAACCGCTACCGTAGTTCCGCGCATATAAGCCCATGCCATGGGCTTATATGTGAAATAATGCAGTTTGGGGATAAAATATCCAGTAAAACATGTTCATTTTTTAGCCCATGGGCCAATATTCGAATTTTGAAGGTTCACGAAAAAAGTACAAGTCCGTGCTCATAGTGGGTCTACCATACTCTACTGCCAGTACTGGTAAACTGCACTGACCTGCTGTACCTTGGTAGGAAGAGTCTACATTGTGAAAAATTCTTGTTGACACGCGAGTTGCATTTGTGTCTGTTTATAAGCCCATGGGCTTATAAACGGAGGTGGGCTTATATCCGGATATGCCCGTGGGTTTATACGCGCGGAATTACGGTAAGCCTGAGACGTAAAATAGCCGTAATGTCGTAATGTGTACAAGATACATGTACCGCATGGGTTCCCTGTCATGAATATTACCCGCGCCCTCCCCTCAGCTGAACTCTGGATCCGCCGCTGCATACTGTTGACAGAAGCTCCATCGTGCATTTGGAAACCCCACTGGCTTTGAAAATGAGCCTCCAACAAGCAATGTGTTACTCTTCGCTGATGAACGAGTGTTTTCCTCGAGGATTAACCCATCAGAAAAAAGCATTTTTAAAATGAAATTTCGAAAGTGTTCCAACGTGGCGAACGTGGCCTTTCATTTCCTTTTTAGTACAGTTACGTGTCAGTACTGTCGGGCGCCGAAGAGCGACCAGACTAGAATTTCACCAAGCACAGCATACCAATGTATACACGGTGACTCGACTTTGCATCGACTGTAATACATGAAAATAAGAACGGTCTAGGCTAGGAGGCCGACCCCCCAGTTCTTCGGCGACCGACAGTACTGTATTTTGTCTGTGGCGTTAGCATGCGTTGATGCCCTGAAGCATGCGATGATAGCCTATTGGTGCTGCTGTGGATGTGCGTGTGTCATGCAGAAATCACGCACCCGGGCAACGACCAGCGGAGCCCAGACTAGGAAAGGCAATCCGTGAGCAACGGCTAGGAATCGTTCTGACCAGCTGCTGGGTGGCAACAAGCTCTGTCCAAACCTGCTTTCCCGATTCCGCCAAACCACCCCTACAGACTGTTACACCTGGCTGTGCATGTATCAACTTTGTTTGAGTGTAAATAATGGAGGTCATGTCAAGTAACTTTGCACTTGCTGGCTAAGCAGCTTACTATCTTGGATTCCTACTCCCTGCCTATATAATGTCACTCACGCTCACGCTTTCCTACTTCTCTCTGTTTCCGTGCTCCTTGCAAATGCAAGGCAGGAAACAACGGCAATATGATTTATAGGTAGCAATGTGATATTGCACATCGCTCTGCTCTGTACATACAGTGCATACCTAGGTGCCGATAATGCATACCTAGGTACAGACAATGCATACCTAGGTACATAGCCCTGTTTTCATGCTAATAGCCTTATATTATGGTAAATATTCAGTATGCAAGTTGATTTTCGCTGAGCGAAGTCCCGTCTTTCCACCTTTTCTTTCTAAATAATTATATTTTATTGTTGTGGAGCAACAACGTAACGGTCACGTACACCTTCCTGACTTCAATGAACTGCGGTTCGTTTGTTCAACCTGTATCTGTTTCTGTTTCCCCTCTCCTGAACCATTGTGGGTAGTATAGCTGTTATTGCAGACGTGTCTTTGTTACTTGTATCGATACAGGAAATACCTTTCCCAGGCTAGTTCCAGTATTGGATGCATTAGCTCAGCATTAGAGTGTGCGCTTTTCGGGGCTTTGTGTTTCAAATGATTACTGGATCGAAGGCAGTACTAGTACCGTAGCAGAATACAATGTACATCAAACATGCATCACTCCATTGAGATAGTTGGATTGTTGGTCTTCTTTGGCTGGGAGTTGTAGCAACCTTATACAACTCAGTGGCTAATTGCTTGAGACATGTACACGACTGTAGTGCTAAACAAATCCGTCCGAGATGTACATGACCACACACAGGACAGCACCAGTGAAAGCCATGTACAATGTATTATCAAGAGTACAGCCATGGTAATGCAGTCAGTCTTGGTGATGTGGAGAAGTGCGAAAACAAATCCAGTTGTTCATCTGTCTGGGAAAGTAGAACTATGAAGAGTATAACAGTAGTGGCAGCAGCGTTGAAAATAAAAAAGGAATATGTTTTGGTCTGAGGGTGTGGTTCGAGGTTACAATACTGAATAAGATGTAACATAAGTGAGGTTATTGTTATGATGGCGGGTAACATAAGAATATCATCTATGAAACATCGAGTACACGTGTGATAAAAGTAACTTATCAATAATGTGCTACGTATGCGTAGTGTATGTTCTTAGTTAGAATGCTGAGTGGAAGGAGAATAGAGCAATGATATAAAACTATGCAAAATGAAATTATTTCCAAAATCGATCCGCGTTGGATCAAGCAGATTGACACTCAACATAAACTCGGCTTGCCCAGTCTGTTGTGGTCACAAAGCATAAAGTGCAGGTGACATCGTCGCACCTCGCACAATGCCACCTGCACCAGGAGGGTTCGCTGCAGAATAATTGTATTTTTTGGCATCTTATCATTTCGAGTCCATTAGATTCTAGCACGACTCATCTCAGTTGAATTTCAGCGGTGCATGCACTTTTCGTAGTTTGTTTCCCGCGCATGTTTGTGATGGCGTTGAGTTTCTCGCATGCACTATATGAAGTCGGTATGTCAATGATGAGGTTTGATGATACAGAGCAGTAACATAATATCATGCCAAGTACATCAGTAGTTTATTACACGCGCGTTGCATACCGCCGAAGCTGTCTGCCGGCCTTCTTGCTGGTTCCATCGAAGGTCTTTCCGCGACTGAAGCGAATCAAGTCTTGCGAATGCCGCTCGTCTTTCATCGGGATATAGCCGCATGGAGAGCAGAGCTCCTGTGCAAAGCCCAAACAGAAATGTTATGGTCAGAGTTCAATTTATCACCCAGGTTAGCCTGATGCAGGAACAGCAAGGTGGTGTGTCGATGCACAATTAGAATGAAGGAGCAACTTGTTCCTTTGGCAAAACAGCTGTGGATGCAGTCATGTCGGTAAAAAGAACTCAGCCACCCATTAAAATCCCCTCCCCTCACACTGCGCATACCACACAGGCACACACGTAGTCAACACCATTCTTTACTTACAGGAAATGACTCAAAGAACTGCTTGTAGCCACCAGTAAGCAGGTAGATCTCAGGAAAGCACAGCTTAGGATAGTTCTCCACGTTGTGTAGCCGATCATGCTTCCGAAAGTTGCGAAGCCTGTCACAAGCCAGGACACAGGACACACAATACAGCACAATAGGGAGGTTTAGTTCCACGTAACGGAAACGCGTACGTGTGTGATACACGTAAAGGGGATGAAGGGCACCCACTTTGCAATGGTGTGTTTAGTCACACAGAACAAACAAAAGCATGAAGCGAAAGGCCCAAACCTGGTCAAAGGCGAAGCTACCCGGGCCTAAGAAGCTCATCCAATATTTTGATTTCGTGCTTCGGAAACTTCTTCAGCTGAGCACCCTCACAGCTCGCACAATGCGCTCCATTCTGATTTTCACCCACACTCGGCGGAACGTGGGTGAGCCTCCATACACGGTATGTCGTGAATCAGAAAACGTCTGTACGTGGGTCACTGAGTATCACGTGGTACACACACGTAAAGTACCCACGGATTACGTGGGACTTAACCCCCCTAATAAGGAAGTTTCCACAGAATGGAATAGACACAAGGCAGAACAACAGAGACCAAAAAGCTTTCTCCTAACTCCGAGTTGCGTGTTAAAGAAAAACACTCATCGTCTGCCTTGTGTAGTACGCTCTGCCCTTGTTAGGGGCCGGTCGCACTGAGGGAAAATTTGAAAAAAATCCGTGGTTACCATGGACATTTGCCGCTGTGCGGGAGATTTGAGAGATTTAATCCACTCGATGAAAATCAGCTCGAGGCTTCGCTTTTCCGCCGAAGATTACAATCATCCCCGGCTTCCACTGGATTTCTTTGAGTTTCCTTGTTTTTTTATTGCGTTATGAAGTGGAGCGATACTCTAGAGGCTGTGCTGATGCAGCTCTGGCCCAGGAACGGGCTGACAGACTGCCAGAAGCGTATGGTGACAACAAAATTGCTCGCGTGAGTGAGATTTTTTTCATTGTGCGTATGCAGTGTGGTCGTGATGAAAAGCAGAAAAATTCTTCCCGGTTTATAATCTGAGGATTGTTCCCTCAATGTGACTGGCCCCTTAGGGTATTGAGCACTATTTGCAGCAAGGGCTTCAGGCACTTTGTCAGAATGGAATAGACAGAGAAGCCTGCAAGACTGCTTTTCTTGTTTATAAAAGCCATCACTGCAGATCAAACAGACATTCAGGTCACCACCCACAGCCACACAGAGTACTGGGTAGATACGGTAGTCATGGGCGGTGGTGGCCAATGAAATACGAAATCAGCTTTGGCTACTGTATCTGAGGTGCAGCAGCACAGTGCTTGTTCTATAGTACTGTATGTACAAGAATAATCGTCGACGAGACAAGCAAACAAAACAGAGTAGATAGTGCATGTATGGCTAGCATATTGCCCAGATAAATGAATGTCCTGAGATTCATCCATCATGATTCATCTGTCAATGATAGTTTAGCCATTATTAAAATAATTTTCTTCTCATCATGAGCAGAGTCAAGGCACTCCCAAACAGCTAGGTGACATGTACATCAGGGAATTGTAGCATCTAGGGAGATAACACAATACCATAAAAGATCTTCAAGTACTCAGACCCATGTGTATTTGACCCGGATTTGGAAGTTCTACGTAATCCGTGGTCTATGCAACTCGCGATTGCAGCCTTTTGACCTACTGACTCCAAACATGGCCCAGACCAACAATGCCATATGCGAGCGTGCATAAACCGGCCCTGCCCCAAGAGCGACTGGGACGTGCAGTGCGGGAGCAAAAGCCACATAATTTCACGATCCAGTTGGCCGTGTCGCGTTTCTGGATTCTACGACTCCCTGCTGTACACAGACTGAGTCTATCCAGTATTTCATGGGACAGCCTCGCGGCTGTTTGATATAGCTAATGCTGGTGTGGAGATAACTAGAGAGCCTCATGATGCTTATTCGGGTCCTTCCTGAGCCATATAAAAAAAACCCTGTTTGTGGCATACTAGTACAATCGTGTACTAGACTAGTGCAATAGTTGCATAAGAAATCGCACAGCTCTACCCAAAGATGATTCCGTATTCCACCATGCAGTCACCGGTGTATTATAACACCAACAATACACAGTGTACGCGTGTCCACAGTTTGCTACACTCTGTTCCATGCTTGCATTAATTGCATGCGTTTTATGTCCTGGGTTACAGGTGATATGCAGGACTACACTGGAATAAGATCTGCAACATTCAAGTCACTGACCTGTCAACACTACGCTTGACAGAGAACTCGCAATAGAAGACAATGATGGTAGGACTGTGCTCCGCCCTGTTGTTGCTGTGGAGGGCAGTGTTCTTGAAGAGCATGGACACCATCTGATCGTCATCATGGATGTTCGCTGCATCCTGATGTGGAATAGATGAAAAAGATGTCACAGAGAGGCACAATGTGCTGTCATTGCAGTACATGTGTCGGGAGAGAAGGTGACATAGTAGATTGCCCCTTTTCCCATCCTCAATACTACATCTCCGGCTCTTTATACACATGCACTATGAGAGAGGTTGCGCTACAATGCTACTGCTATGAAGACCGTGTTCATCGGTATGGCGCAGAGTCGTGCTCTGGCAAGCAATGCGGATACGCTGATCCATTGCTTTTCGTCTGCTCGTCCCTAACCTGTATGCATATATGCCAAAGCAAATTTGCGTGTGTGTGTGTCACTGTGTGTGTGTGTGTGTGTGTGTGTGTGTGTGTGTGTGTGTGTGTGTGAGAGAGACAGAGAGAGAGAGTGGGTGTTTGCGCCCCAGCTAGTTTTGTTTGATGGGTCACGGTGTGTCTGCCAAACAGTGGTTGGGTCTGTCGCCATCGAGATGAATAGCTTGAAAGCTTATTTTATTGATGTGCCTGTTAGCTATGTCACAGTCGTGGCCAAAGAAATCCAACCCACGTGAAATCCCACCCACGTGCCGAAAGCAGCGCCAAGAGCAAGGCTCATGCGGCCCTCAGATCAGTTTTTGGCACGCATGGTGTAATTGAAATGGAAACACACCGATACTTTTGACTCATGGGTCAGATTTCTTTGGCCACGACTTTACATGATACATTCTATTGGAAGTACATACAGCAGTGGACACTGTATGCCTGTTGACAAAATAGCACGGACGCACTGATCTGCCCAGTGCAGGCCATGGCAAACTATTAATGAACTATTTCTATCTAGATGAGCTCTTGTGTATCCAATGGTGCTAGTGAATTTAGTCCGAGTATCAAATCCACTCTCCTTTAGCAACTCACACTAGTATCCTTCACTTGTCACGGGGGTGAATGCAGTGCGAAATCAGCCATTGGGCGGTTCAATAGTCAATTGAGGCACCATTCCAAGTATTTTAGTCCATAATTCCTTTTGAGTTTCTCAATCCTCTCCCCGGGAGACCCGTGTGATCAGTTTCTGGCAGTGAGCAAGTACAGTGTGTGTGTGTGTGTGTGTGTGTGTGTGCGCACGCACGCGTGTGTTTGTTTCTCTCCACGTGCATTATTGTGACATACAAGCCGGTCTTCAAAACCCCACCTTGATATGGCCGCCAGCATACTCGTACGGATAGCGACAGTCGACAAGGTGGATCTCGGCCACCATACTGTTCTGGCAGAATCCTCCTAGCAGTGCTCTGCTCAGCGTCTCGCCAGTGATACGCTTCACCTCCGCGTTGTCAATTACCGGCAATATATGTGGCCGTGAGAAATCTCCAATGAGAAGTGGCGACACACCTTGGTTGCTTGGCGATATCAAGCCAAAGGCTTTGTTGAGTAGCGGTGACGTCATCATTCCGATGGGTGCTATGCAAGCCTGCGACAATGAGCGACACATGCCAGAAGTGATGCTCGCTTGTTGGTTGGTGTTGCTCGGCAAGGCGCCGAAGAACATGGGAGAGGAACTGGAGGGCTTCCTGCGCATCTCGCCTGCCTTGCTGGAGCTGTCGTCGAATGTGAATGCTGGGGGTGGTGGGCTTGCTGCAAACACTACAGGCTCTGCTAGCGTCAGGGGACTAGGACTGCTGACTGAGGTCAGGTGACAGCGGGACTGGGTCACCTGAGTTTTCTGCTGCGGCCCACCATCCGTGCCACTATCCATACGTGGTCTCTTCCAGCCAGTGTTACATGCGTCAAGCCTGTTTCGAGCTCCATAACGTTTGGGCATTGGGCCGGGACTAGACTTCCAGCCTGGCGACATTGGAGTTGCTAGCAAACATGGTGAGAATTCTGCGGGTACTAATGGAGATCTGTCACGCTCTCCGGCCAGATCACTAAAACTCAGTCTAGAAGGATGTAGGGACCGTTGCTGACCACACGCCCGTCTCGAGCCGTTGAAGCAGAAGATAGGGAAAGGAGAATCTGGACCATCTTCCATTGACAGCGACATCTCGCAGTGCCACCGAATCGGCTTGTCCCAAACTCTTCCGAAGTAGTTCAGTGCCGGTCCAGCAGAGCCTGGGGTGTTGAAAGCCCGGGCCAACCACACTTCACCTCCTTCTCCGCCACACTGTCCTCAGCTCAGGACAGCTTCGGGACGCCCTACTCGCCAACCACTTTTCATGGCTACGGCTGTCCAAACATTCAAAACTACCAACTTGCTGAATGTACTCGAAGGCAGTACGACGACCCCAACTGCCAATAATCAGTACCCGGTAGTTGACGAGTGTTCCAGTTAGGTTGGAAGGTCACAAACCTTGACCTTTCTCTGAACTGTAAAAAAAAACAGCATGAATTGAAACAGCAGAAAACGAGTGTAGTGATGGTCGTACACGCGCAAGCGCAGTCAAGTAGAGTTTAGCTGGTTGTGTTTCTCAATACAATTGTATAGCCGGTGGTAACGCGGATGTGCGAACTAATATATAATACTTTACTTTACTTAGGTCCAACCAGGCAGGGAGTTATATCGCAGACCAGGCTGGGAGCCCTACACATACTGCCAAGATCATGAACTCTTGATACTGCATTATGTGTAATGCTCCCTGGCCTGGTCCATGGTAAAGGTATGGACAAGAGTAGATAAACAAACGTTTATCTACTCTTGGTATGGATTATCCCATGAGTACGAGGGGTATACCGCCGAATATTTTCATGAGTGCGTTAGCACGAGGGAAAATATAAGGGACACGGTATACACAGAGTACAAATGGTATAATCCATTTATCCCATGTACGACTCGTAGATCTACTGTCACAATGACACAAATGAAAAGCGTGACCAGCACTAAAATCTCCCTGGCGTGACCCGGGGAATATTCGTGACCCCAGCGGGGTATATTTTTGACCCTTTGACCCCAGCAGGGTATATCATTGACCCCGCCCGGCGGGGTATATCGCTCTATACTGTAAACAATAATACACCTGGGTTCAACCGCGATACCAGGCAGTAGGTCCAGGCAACCACTCGGAAAATCGCCTGACTCCCTGGCTGGAGTTCCAACTCTCCCTTGAGTCTTGGCTGCATGAGCCTTGGTAATTATTATTGGTACTTGATCTACCAGGTCTATCAAGACTCAGAGTCAAGCAAGAGCCCATAACCTAACTAACCCCATGGGCCATGCATTATACGGGCTGTATTCGAAGAGTCCATGTTTACAGACTCTTCCTAGTCTTGGATTTGACTCTTACTGCTGGTCCGAAACAGCGCAGGTATTTTATCATAATATTTACCAAGCAATGTCATAATCATCATGAAGGCATGTACATGGATAGACTCTTCATATCATGTGTTCCCGGCCCAGGGCTACTTGTAGGGGCCTGGGCTAATACGCAGTGCTGGTTTATATACAATGTTTATTTTTTCTTTATGTCCCACTCCTAGGCAGGCACCCTGCTCACCCATGATGCGTAGCAGTCGCTCCCAACGCATACATTGGTTGTGGTGTTGGTTGGCCATAAGTATAATAATTATGCCTTTTAATATATCCAAATAACACCACAGCAAAAGCAATGCACAACTCCTGTTCAAGAGTGTGCCATAAATTCCGGCACTTTGGCACAGGACTGAGGTGATGACCAGGTGATCGAAGATCATTCAAAATTACATTTTTACATGTAAGGAATAGGCGCCTATAAAAGAGAAAAAAGATGGTTAGTACAGCTTGAGCCTACTACTAGTACAGCCCTGCTCAATGTAATCCAGTCGTGTCACTCAAGTTTGCGCCTTGCACCTTTTCGCAGCTCAGTGTTCACAGGCCTGGGGACCTGGCGTGTACTTGAGGGATGCGACTGGATTTCATTGAGCAGCACGGTATATTGTAGGCCGGTTTGCAAGCTACAAAACAACATGCTACAATGTAGTGGTTCCCGGGCATCAATGAACCAACCCTACGAATGATCTTGACTCACAATTAGTCACAAGGCGTAGTCCAAGATACAGTACATACCGACTGTCAGGTAACATTACAGACTACACATACGTGACTGTAATCATTCGTGCACCTGTTGCAAACCAAGTAAAACTGTGTGCACCAGTACGGTACCGATAAACAAGAGTATGCAACTGTGACCTCTTGTCCAAAGGACAGCTGGCCAAACATTGCCTTCATCATGCAAAATCATCCGCGCACTAATTCAAAACCACACTCACACTTTCACATCGGTTGGAAAGTAACGTTTGGACTGGAAGTGAAGTTCGTGTGCCCAGAATCTACAGATCGCCCTGGGACTGGAGCAAAAGAAATCAAGCAAATACTGGCGTTACAGCATGAGATATAGCGGTTTTCACGAGTACAGGGCGCGATGCAGATGAATGATACAATGTAGGCTGTGCGCCAAGCAAAGCGCCCTAATCATAGCCGCATACTCTTGGCAAAGACTCTGGCCGGTACGTGTGTGAATAGCAGACAGTTGACAAATAAATAAATAAAATGCAACTGCATACAACAGACAGAGAGCTAACACGCACATTTGTAATTGTGCATTTGATTGCATAGACCGGCCGCGTCCCGAGGGCAATTGGAATGGGCAGCACAGGAGCGGAATCACATTGTTTCATGTTTCACTCGCCAGTATTGTGTCCCTGTACATGCTGCGTGTCCTTGGTTTGCATGCGCTTATTTCACACACCGGAAATGAAAACATGCACTCAGTCAGCTTCATCCGGATCCTCTTCTTCCTGGAACTCTTCGGCATCAGCAGTACTGGTGGTCGTGGTGCGAGCCTCCACTTGGCGTTCAACACGATGACCCTGGCGTGTTAGCGCCGAGCCAAATCCAACGGGATTGTCCAGTGCAGCATCAACAGCGTCATCCAAACCTTCCAGCGTGACAAAGCCTTCGTTCTACAGAATAATGAGAAAGCAGACAAGCCACAGGTCGCATACAGTGTGACATTCTAAAATATCACTGGGGTTGCAACGCATGGAACGGTACTTAGGCGAAAGTACACGCACCCATTTCAGCATGATCCAGTTTGGTCAAACTCAAAAGTCAAAACCCGTCAAGTTTAGTGATCAAGATATTTATAATTATTATACAACTAATCACTACGATCACCACCACCAAGAGTACATGAAAACCAGAGTGTGCAGCTTGGGGCAGTTTCTACTATGGGTGTCTGTCACGGCGGAATTCCGTGATTACATCATATTTGGCGCAGATTTGAGGCGGGAAGTGGGGAAGTGGCGTAGTGCGTACAACTGAGCTGCAGTTCTGCAGAAAGAGACCTGCTTGAATCATGTTTGTACGCACTACATCACTAAAATGATGTAATCACGGAATTCAGCCGTGACAGCAACCCATCCGAGCTGCACACTCTTGTTTTCATGTACTCTTGCCACCACACATGACCACCACCACCACCACCACCACCACCACCACCACCACGTGGCTACCAAATTGAATGATGCTCTTGCAGGAAGATGAGGACAAGGAATATATTATACATGTCTACATTCAAAAATGATTTTAGGATAAAGGGGTAGGTGATTGTCTTTACAGGTGTGTTCACCTAAACAAGACATTCAAGGCATTATGTACAACTGAGATACAAAATACACACGCAACCCCCCCCCCCCCCCCCAATATCGATGAAAGTAAAGTGAGCGCACTCATACCACGAGAACAATGGAACAATATTTTAAGATTTGAACGTCGTTTTCATGTGATAATCATCAGAAATCGTCATCACACTGAGAGTTGGACGACAAAGGAAAGATATTGCTCCATTGTGATGACGATTTCGGATGAGTATCACATGAAAGCGACGTTCAAATCTTAAAATATTGTTTCATTGTTCTCGTGGTATGAGTGCGCTCACTTTACTTTGATTGATATATTAGGTTTCTTGTCTCCACGCCGACGTTTAAAAAAAACATTCCGTCTCCCATTTCCCCCAACAAGCATACCTGGAAGTGCTCGATTCTTTCTCGCCTGTTAATGTCAGCAACATCACGGTCTTCACGTTCCGCTTCGCTAGCCTCCTCAAGCTCTTCATTCAGCACCTTCATTTTTTCCTGAGTTTCATATTTTCTGCCGTGCAATCACAAAACAGAAGACAAAAGGAAAAAATTACTATAAAAGGAAAAAAAACAAAGAAAGAATTAGGAATCACAACGGGATTATAATTTTATACTGACAACAAATTCTAGCAAAGGGACACTGAGATCAATAGTCTCATAAAGCCTAGTTCACAGTCGACGGAACGCTGACGGTACGGGACGTAAGGGCCTGTCCGGAAGGCTGGGGTGAGCTGTAAAATCTTGTACGATTCGTACGACACGACATACTGCAGTCGTTGCGTCGTTCAACAGCGAACGGCGCCAGTCATAAGGCACGGTCCGTGGCAGGGTGACTTTTGCACCTAACTTCTTGTTTTTCGGGACTTCTTTTCAATTATATCTCCTTGAATGAAGCGGAATCAAGTTCACAATACCAGTTTTTCATGAACACCAAAAAATTAGCTTCGAAAGGTGTGCCATTCAAATAATAGCTCCAGGAAATGATAAAACAGTTCGTCTGTCACGCTCCTGAACTATCCCTAAATACCATAAGTGACATCAGACCTTATCTTGCTGAAATACAACTCAAGTCGTGTTAGCCATTCTGCAAGTTATCATGGGAAGCGCAGTGTGCGAAATGCTAAAAATTTCCAAGTACGAATCAGGAGTAGTCGGCGCACGACGCCGTCTCCTGTTCACACTCAAAATGCAGCTGTTTTGTACGCTTGCGTCCCCGTCTACGCTCGTCTACGGTATGAAAAGTTGGATCGATCCAACTCTTCTCGTCGCTTCCCGATCCGTACGGCAGTACGGTTGTGTTCCCGTTCCTGGTGTTCACATTGGACGCCGTCAGACTGTCCCGTCGCTTCCCGTCGCGTCCCGTCGCGCCCCATCGAATGTGAACTAGGCTTAAAAGCACCAGCAAGCATGTACACGCATGCCATGCCCATGCACAACATACACAAAAACACCCACCCACACGTGATACGTGTCCAAATATCATGTCAGGCTTAACCGACGCCTTTCAGCAACCACCCAGGACCGGCGGAAGCAGTTTTTGATTGGTCCGGCCATACCCTAGCCTTTCATACTTTTTGTGTATGATATGGAGGGTATACCCTAGCCTTTCATACAGTTTGTGTATGATATGGAGGGTATACACATGACCTCCTCAGCAGTAAACACATGTTGGTGGCCAAAAAGTTGGCCCAGCCATGGCCTGCCCCCTGAACGACCATTTCTTTTGAAGAAGCAGGGGATCATCCCGATTTCAGAGACTACCAGCATTCCTTCCCCTGCATAGCAGGCTCGTCCCATGGGTAGCCGGTCGCCACAGCCAGGACCTAACCTGTACACCAGTACACTGTCTGTAAACATTGGCAGCAGACTCACTTCTAAAAGAAGAATACCGCATATTCTCTATTTTAAGCGCCACGCTTGTATTATCTAAAAGGAGAATACCGTATATTCTCTATTTTGCTGCACTTATACTATGTTTTCAACACCCCTCATACTGGAGACCGCGCTTGTATTGGAGAGCATGCTTATATTTGTTCAACCAATAATTCATACGGAGCCAGAAGAAACACATGCTAGATATCATGCAACACTGTATTCCACTGAGAATGTGCTTATTATGTGTCTCAAGTTGCTCACAGTGTGCTAGTATTAGAGACTGCGCTAGTAACGGACACCTGCGCGTATAATCTGTCCCCAGAGAAAATCGTTATTTCGCGGATGCAAAATTTTCTGCGATTTTGTGACGATTTTTTAAATCTGCAATTACCGCAAATTTTCCGCGATTTTTGAAGTTTTCTTGCATGAAAACATCGAAAGACTGTCCCTGCATCACATGGTGAGGCCTTCTCTCCCCCGAGTCTGTACATGTGAGTAGCAGGCACATTATTCGAGGACTGAAGTGTATGCAAATGTAGAATATACCGTATGCTAGTAGTAGTCATCCAGAGCAAAGCCACTACTGTAGTTCCGCGCATATAAGCCCATGGGCTAATATATGAAATAATGCATTTTCCGGGAAAATGAATCAGTAATAATGGTTCGTTTTTTAGCCCTGGGCCTATATTCGAATTTTGAAGGCAGCTGGCACGCGAAAAAGTACAAGTCCGTCCGCGGTTGTCCGCCTACCATAGGTACCGGTACTGGTAATGTAGTCTGCACTGACATGCTGTACTACGGTGTTTGGGTCTGTATATTAGCCCATGGGCCTATAAACGGAGGTGGGCATATCCGGATATAGGCCCATGGGCTTATATGCGCGGAACTACGGTAGGTGTATTCCCTTGATTTTAGACCCAAGGTTCAAAACAACATGACATCCCACCCACCCATCACAATAAAGAGATAATTAATCTACGTGTGTAAATGGCAAAAGGATAATAGAAAGCCACATACCTGTAAGCTGCTACTCTTGCGTTTTCTAGCTCTACAAAATTCAATAAGCGTTGTCGATGAACGGACCGTAGATGAGGCACTCTTGACACTACCCTGTTCGCCACAATCTTCTCATATCTTTCGTGTATGGCCTCACGAGCAAATTGTTTCCGTCGATCTTGAAGGGATTCTTTCCACTTACGAACATTCTTTTCCTTGTAGTGCTCACCCATAAAATTTCCACCAAACACCCTCCAAGCTGTTTCAGGTGAAGCAGAGGCGCACCGGCAATGTGGCTGAAGCGACACTGCTCTTCGTGAGAATAGCAGCGCCATTGCCTTCAGATCTTCAGATCAGAGCATATCCATACTGTAATAATAATTATTGTTTCTTCTCAGTCCAAACCCTTTCAATAATAATATTATTATTGTTTTCACGCACGACTCGTGTTCAAAAACTGAAAAAGCAGAAGAGGAGAACAAAAATGTGAGCATGACGTCATTTTCTATATTTCTATTGTCAAAATTACATGATACAGGATAGTTTGTGTTCTTTCGAAGTTTCGTGCTCGTGAAATCAGTATGGTTTGCAACAATTGTTCAGTGTTCTGACCTTCAGATTACTAGCAATGAGTTGGTCTTGCTTTGCATCGCGCTCGGCGTCTTGCCTTGCGTCGATCTGCAAGCGGGAGCCCTTGCATGTCGTTCCCAGCGTAGTATCGACAAGCTGCAGAAAATCACATTATAGCCCTAGATACATCACTCTTGAGGAAAGAGAACCTGCAGAACAGGACAGGATGGTTAGAGAGCAACTGGAGGACACTGCTGGTCCGGAGGTTGTGAAGTTCCCAAATCCGTACGCTGGACGCTCAGGAAAAGTTGCCTGGTTATCTGATCATCGTGGTGTGAAGAAAACTTTGGATCGAATTGTAACAGTCGATCTGGATAAAGTATTCGCTCCTCGGATCAACCGGCCAAGACCTCCTAGGTTTATGCTGGCCACAGACGAGCAATTGGATGTGGTACGTAATTTCATGATTATGCATCCACTAAACTTTAAAAGAAAGAGAAAATGAATGGTGGAATGTACACGTATATTGCAGGACAAGACTAGTGTACTGTTCTGGCAATACAGTCATGCACCATACATGTACCATTCAAAAGCATTGCACCACTACACCAGTACAGCATACACTGTACTTAGTACATGCAACAGTATAGTCGCTACCAGACCTGGGACGAGACGTGCCGAACGCGCATCCCAAAATCAGCACTGTGACTTGTGTGCTGGCCCGTAGCCGTCTGTCCATGCTACTTCACTTCAGGCCATGTATACAGATTTCTGGAAACAGGGAGATTCTGCACTTCAATCTAGAGATTCTGATGCATAATGTACCTCCCGCTGCGCTTTCCAATCATAAATCCAGACCTCGCCGGACTTGTTTGGGTTCTTGGCAAACTTCTTGCACAGTGACTGTCCGTAGGCTACTGTGTTTAAGTCATGTTCTGGCGGATTGCTGGCTGGAGGGTTTCTGGCCACTTCAGAATGAGATCAAGCCCTACCATAGGAGAACACTCGTCGTCATGGTGGTTTTGCGCCATTATCCAGTAGTAGGGTCAATCACATTATGTGGCCAATTCCTTACCCCTCATCTGCCAAGCTCTGGTGAACGGGTGCGAAATACAGTCTGACATGTTTATTTCCCGTGGGGAATTCAGGAGATGCTCCAGATTACAACCGTGACACCAGGATCATGCGAGTACCCCACCTGGCAGCTGACCTATAACTACTGTACCGTAAAGTCTTGTATAAAAGCCGCACTTGAATAGCAGCCGCCCTCGAATAGAAGCAGCAATTTTGGGCCCATCAAATCACACATAAGCCTCGTTTTAGTGTTGACATACATAGAAATACCTGTCTTGTATAGAAGCCTGTCTCATATAGAAGCCTGCAAAATTTCACCAAGAAAGTCATAGAAGCCGCGGCTTTTATACAAGACTTTACGGTATAATTGTGGCATGATTAGGAAAATACACTCTTGCATCAGCAGGTAAATAGAAAAATGACACTGTCAAAAGCCACACTGGAACAGTCTATATACAGGGTGGTGTGCCGCAAAGTTGTGAATCATCTCACATCCTGGGAGCAGAAGGCTCTGAGAGGCAGAATTCGAAAACAATGGGCCAATGCACTGCCAAGTAAAGATGCAGGCGAAACACATGTGGGTGTCTGGTTCTCCCTGCCGAATTGTGATACAGTTCACATATTTCTGGCCTGCATCTTTGTGTCACAGCGCGTTAGCGCATTCAAGTCTGCTTCTCCCCCCTCCCCCCCCCCCATAAATAATAATGTGAGCCAATTCAAATCTCCTAGAATTCTCTGTATAAAGAGTGCTGTTCGCCCTTTCTAGAAAGTAGAAGCCCAGCGTTCCACACCCCTGATGAAATTTGTGTGATTGAAGCAGTTGTATTGAGGAATTGATATCAGTATCTATTTTAACCCGAAGTCGTGTTGCTGCTGGAAGTCTGTACTGGTATTTTTTGTGTTTTCATACAGTTGGAGGAAGCTGTACTGGACAGAGCCATGGATTTATTGAATCGGCCTCCTATTTATTTGCAGCGCGAGAATATTCCTGAAGACGAGCGACTTATCCAAAAGAACCCGGAAATTGATGGTTATGCTAACGCCAAAGTTGTCGTAATTAACGTTGACAACGACCTTCAGGATGATGTAAGTTCATGCACCGTTTCATCTGTCTTTCTCTTCCATTTTTGTACTGCTTGTTTATGTGTGGCACCTTTGCTCGATATTGTTTGGCTCTTTTGAGACCAAAATGATGCAGATTCGATCAAGAATGAGTGAGTTAAAAGTAAAAAAGTCATCGATGGCTTGTCGTACTTTTTGAGAATAGTTTTCGGAATATTGCTCAGGTCCGCTCCACAATTGCTCTCATATAGTTTCTAAACGATTGGATAACAGACGCCCAATTTGGAAAAATGTATGCACAAAGTGATCACAGATTTTATGTGGTATAGATGCTGGCATAACGGTTTTTGCCTCGGTACGCGTCTATAGTTTTGAAATGGACTGTAGCATCAGTATGTACTACTGATCCGGTGATCAGCTGGTGTATGCAGATACATGTTTGAGTGGTTGCTAGGATGTGGGAACAAGAGAGAATGGAAGCTGTGTCGCAACTCTGAGTTTCACCAAGAGTCCATAACCCCCCCAGAGTGTGCAACTCCAGGTTGGGGTCTGGCGCAACGAAATCCAAACATTGCGTCATCCGGTCCCCGGGCAAGCATGGGCGGATGGGGCCATGTGCATAATCTGGTACATCCGGCGGGGGTTCCAAGTTGAAGGTTGCTTTGAAGCAAGCCACGGAAGTGTCACGTAAAACGTTTGCTCCACGGGCTATGCAGTGTCAGCAGAACGGCTTTGATTTCACAGTCACAGAATTTTTTTATTTGAAGAGAGTTTCTCTGCTCGTTGTCTGAAAAGCTTGTATTGGGAGAGTTCGCGACTCCGGGATAGCAAGAATAGGCATGGATATAGATTTACAAGATTTGATGGAAATAGCTCTTGGCACACGGCATGAAGACCCGATCGATTTCGAAGTAGATGTGCTTCAACCTGCTCCTCAGTCCCATTTTGGCACTGCACACTGCACTCCGGCGACAATGGGGAGCGCTTTGCTTTAGGTTCAACAGTGGCCATTGTTCTTCTCTTATCGGAGAGACACTCAAAAGAGAAAACTGTTCGACAACTCTAAAATAATTCTTTGTGAACTTGAGCCTTTCCAGGCGTGTTACGTACAATACCTGGCCGTGGATTCGTAAAGAAAGACCCCAAATTGGGCAAACGGGCGAAGTAGGTCCGGGCCAAACTTCCCATTTCGTCATAGCTACTCACTACATGACGTATGAAGTTTGGATTTCGTTGCGGCACTGATTTGTGCTGAGAAGGATCACGAGTTGCACACTCTGGGGGGTTATGGACTCTTGGTTTCACGTATTACTCCGATTATCAGGCAAGGCGTAGGATGTGGGAACGTATTTGTGTGTGAAAAGGCGACGAGGAGACAATAACTTTATTAATGCGATTAATAGTATAAGTGAAGCGGACATTACAAAATGATGAATGAGAATACATGTATCTAAAATGGTTGTTCCTAATCGATTTTCTTGAGACCTTGTATACTTCCCACTATCCTATAACCTATAAGTAGTTTGTTTCTCCGTATAGCCTCTATTGTGAGACGATTTTTCCCTGATGATAGTCTCAAGAAAATCGATTAGGAACAACCATTTTAGATACATGTATTCTCATTCATCATGTTGTAATGTCCGCTTCACTTATACTATTAATCGCATTAGTATTTGTGTGTGCTTGTCACGTTGACACATCATGCAAGTGGTAATATTATGACTGTGCTGATCCTGCTGTAGGAGCGGCATGTGTATGTGAGGCAAGAGAACGGGGATCTTGAGCACGCTGACTATGATGTGCGAGACCGCATGCTTCTCACCTACTTCCGCTTGGATTCACGGCGTATCTTCCCGGAGCCTGTGTTCCACCCAGTCACAGTCCAGGTGCGGTGTATTGACTGTGTTCTTGTTTGTCTATCTCATACAGCTGCTACAGTCAACCCTTGTTAACAACAATCTCTGGGCTAACTGTTAACAAATTCGAGGTCCCACCAGTATGCATAATGCATAAGTATCATTTCCCCCCCCCTCGTGCGAATATCATTAAATTTTCTTGCATCTCTAGCTTCTTCCACCTACGAAAGTGTTTCAGCTTTCCATAGCTCCAGTTTGCAGTAGAAAATCGAGGTTGATCCTTGACTTTCCGCTGTACAGTCAAACCTTGCCTAGCCGTACGCATTCGTTTTCACAAAAACATCCGGACAGGCAAGGGAAGTGGATAACCGAAGACACATACTTTGGTATGGATGTTCGTATATATTATGTGGTAAAGCGAGAGTAGTGATAAGTGCGTGCAACCGAGTGCTGTAAGCATGGTTTCTCCTGTTTTTCTTTCTTTTTTCTCTATGCCGGAATACAGAAAGTGCTAGGCATGGGAAGGCACAAGGAAATGCTGGACAGAATTTTCCTGCAGTTCTCTGGCGACTCATCGCAGTACATAAATGTGAGTACACACTTTGTCTGTACATGTGTGTGGGTGTGTTTGTGTGTGCGCGTGTGTGTGCGTGTGCAGGAGAGACATGCAGAATTTACTCTACTTGAGTGAATTAAAATACTATGTACCGTTTTCTTTGTTGGATGTGTGACCGATGATGGAGAAGAGGGAGATTTCTGTGTATCTTTTGTGTGGGTCTAGCTCTGGTTTGGGGCCACTGCTCGTTTACTGCCTTCTTCCTAAATCTCAATCATTGTTTTCTATGATTTGGTTTGTTGTGTTCGGATTTGATTGTTTCTCAGCTTACGGAGCAAGTGTATGAAGATGTGTACTGCCGCGGCTGCTACGAAGTGTTGGACTCTACTTGTCACTTTGGTAATCTGATCTATTATCTGTGCCGTGAAGGCCGGTGGCAGGGTGTCTACCACTACTTCAAGAGCAAGAACAGGTCAGCCAGTCATGTCATGTGTGAACCATAGCTTGTTGTGGTGGGAAGAAGTCCTGGACTTTACTCTGGCACTCATTGTACTGTCTATTGTTGTCATCACAGTCACGACAAAATCACAGTTTGCCTGAGACCCAGTCAGACTGAGTGGACTCATGCATTAGTATGAACATCACCACCCTACAGGAGCATGGCGCTGTTGCAGCAGCTCCTAACCGCCATGGGAGGTCAGTAGATAAGACCCACCGCAAAAATGGTCATCAAAGACTGAAAAATCTCATCCGCTACATCCATGTTCCCCTCGCGCCAGACTATATTTAAAAAATTGTAGGAGTTCCCGATTTAATTGGACTTTGTACTCCTGCTTTTCAGTCAAGGTCTTAGACCATCCCACTATGCCTGCTGGCAATCAATTTGCATGCGAAAATTAGACAAACAGTACGTTACAAATCTAGGAGTTACAGTTTTCTTCTTGTGTACGTCAGTGGCCTTAATGCTCTTTTGAACACTCTTTTTTGTTCCATATGTGTGTTTGTGTGTTTGTGCAGAGTGTGTCAGGCAGCTGATTTGTATCGTTTAGCTATGACCTTGACGAAGAATGAGAGAGAGTCTAAGCTTTTGGCCGACTACCTCGTGACATTAGAAGATATCCCGCAGGCTGAGAAGGAGCTCATGGACAGAGAGCTGGTGATGGAAGCAGAAAAGGTCAGTGTTTGATTATCTGCTGGTGTTTCCCGCTGCCGGTGTCATTGTTACTTCCTTCGTGAGCACCGTCCAGAGCCTTTTGCAATGCAAGAGTTCCCTTATTGAGGAAAATTAGCCCCAAATTAATTGTGCCACTTGCTTTGGAGAACTGTTGGGTGTTTCAAATGTACATGTATCCTTTTCTCTTATGTTCTATGTGTGTGCCTATGTACCGGCATGTGTGTTTGTGTGTGCGTGCGTGTGTATGCATGTGCATGTGTATGTGTCCTATAGCTGTTGGGCAAGGCTGAGGAAGACCCTACTGAGGCAGCCACGGAAGAGAGCGCGTGACACTGGCATTCCTCTCTTTATATTTTTAATTTATGTACAAAGTCATTTGCAAATCCCAATCTTTTTCATGCCTAGCACAAAACAGGTTGTCATAGTAACCACTGAATCACGTGAGCTCATGTACATAACTTCCAGCATTTACATGGAAGGTTGTTAACTTACTTTGCCATGGCAATGAAACTTGTTGATAGTGTAGTGAAGCACTGGTGTTTGTGTCACGGCTTTCACTGTAGACCAGCTCATGTTTTCCTGGCATTCGGTTGAAAGATTTTCCTCCTGTGTGGCGAGCATCGCCTCTGCACCCAGACCGTGCGTGGGTGATTTTACTTCTCATGCAATGTCCGTGCACATGCGGCAAACTTTTCCAGAGGATTAGGGGGCATGATGGCAGTGTGGGGATTAGGGGCGTGATGGCAGGGTACAGTAGAGTCGCGCGCCCAAGAACGTTGTTTCCAAGGGGTTAGCCTGGGCGTTCTTATTTTTCAGGAATCTGGCTGCGTTCTTATAACACGTTCTTAGAAACAATCCGTACTGGATCATATGTATCCCACAAGCTGCCAGAAAGCCAACACCGCCGTTCTTAGCTTTAGGCTGTGGCGTTCTTAGAATTTCAGGCTGGACGTTCTTGGGCTCCACGTTCTTCAGCGCGCGACTCTACTGTAGGGGTTAGGAGGCATGATGGCAGTGTGGGGATTAGAGGGCATGATGGCAGAGTAGGGGTTTGGGGGACAGGGTGGGGATTAGGGGGCAGGGTGGGGATTAGGGGCATGATGGCAGTGTGGGGATTACTATTTACTAGTATAGGGGGCATGATGGCAGTGTGGGGACTAGGATTGATCATTGATGGCAGTGTGCCCTGTTGGTGCAGGTGTTCTGGTCATCACTCATCAGCATTATGAGTACAAGCCGAACACACACACACACACACACACACACACACACACGTGCAAGCGAGCCATGGTACAGCTGCTGGCACCTGTTTGTGATTTCTACACGAGTCCCGGAGTACCACTGGTCTTTGTATGTTCTAACTACATGTAATAGTGTCATGCCACATTGGCAATCCTCAGATGATAACAGTGGTGCACAGCTAGTACTAATACTAATAGTATTGTATTTATACACTGGTATAGGAGAGAATCCGTTTGGTCCAGGTCTGGTGGAAATAAAATAGCGGGAAACGCAAACGGGGCCATGCGCAAGATGTGCTCCTATGACTAGTATGAGTATTGAGCATGCTATTGAACGATGACTCGTGTCTTAGTATGTGATTTCTATTCATATACTGTAGGCGTGCTGAGAATAGTCATCACACTGGCTTATGCACGGCAGCGTTATAATTATACTGAAGTACTTCGTACTACATGTATAGGGCTTGAAAATGAAAGTGCCACAGCCAGCCCGGTGTCATGACAATGCTGACTTTTTTTTAAATCCAAGTGGATCCAGTTTTGTATGGATCCATACACGTTGGGTAATTTCCTTCACAGCAGTGTAACACATCCACCCGTAGCGGACTGGACCCTCCCAGTCGGGGACCCACTCCTGGTACGGAATAAAATTCACACCTGCGTGTCACACCACATACCGATGCAGGCTGTCCAACCGTGCTGCTTCGGACCAAAACATGTGTACACATTTACATGGGACACAATTGCCTTTGTATACATTATACTGTGGGTGTCCTGCTTTGGAATGTTGGCAAGGTTGGACAGTGTGCCGACGATACTGTACTTCGTTATGCCTATGGGCACAGTGGATCCAAAAGTCGATATTTGCTGTTATTTGTTGACTTCTGACGTCATCACTTTCAAGCCATAGCACTGTTGGTGTCAAAGATTCAGGCTGTTGCTTGTGTAGGCTAGTGCTCGATAAGTAAAACAGCCGGTATTCATGCTGTCACTGCCAGGGCTGAGGCCCGTCTATTAGATTTAGTCTGCCTGGGTTGACTTTTCACTAGCCGTCAATTACAGATACTCGTACATTGTGCAACACTCAGTACAGAGTGCGCTCTCTTTCTCGCAGCATGTTTTCTTGAATTCAACTCGGTATACTTCGAATCGGAGTACAGTAGTGTGCCGCTTATCCGCTAGGGCCCCCTTGGATAGCAGGGTCCCTCTCCCGGAGGTTCGGATACGGGAGCGGATACACACCGATCTAAAACATACACATTTCCTCATTTCAAACGAAAATCCGGTGGAACAAAAAGTGATTTTAATAATGTCTCCACTGTGGCCGGCTGTCAAGGTTCTTCTATTTCCTCATTTCTCACTCTAATTATTATTTTACACTATGACAGCCTGGACTCGACTCACACCAGCTCCTCTTATAATTACCCCTGGGATGGTGATGACGACATCCCACTATCATAAATCATGCTGCGCACCGGTATTGCCCCCTTCAGTTCAGTGCGGCAAGGCGTTCCGGATAATCAGCATTCTGTACTACTGTACAGTCATGTACCCTGGCAGACCTCCATATAGATATGGGGAACTGGATGTTCAATTGTTCATGCATATGCACGAGGGGATGGGAGGTCGCGCGCACACCGCTATACTCGCTGTAGCATCTGGATGCCCCCACCAGCCAGATATACTACGCAGTGACTAAAAGCAAAGAGTTGGCCAGGTCTCCATGATCAGTACCATCAGTACCATCAACAAAGTGAAAATGTTTAATTAAAAATAAAATATAATAACAGTGCGGGCGCCAGGCAGCACACCAGCATAATAATAGGACACCATGTGGTGCCTGGTTGCTACTCAGTATGATTACACTAGTACACATAGCAGCCAGAAAGGGTCGGGAATTATACAGGACACACTGAACCCTTACCAAAGCCAGTACTAGTACATGTGGAAGCGTACAAGAAGGAGTGCACCCATGCATTTCTCAATCAGGATTCTGCATAATAGTATGACATCATGATTATTTCGACAAATGCTGTGAACTATATCGGACTACTTGTAACGGTAAGATGACAGTAAGCTAGTGTACACACAACGTACAGTTTCTACGCCATTCGGCGGTCCAGGCCCATCTGGAAAGCATCCGCTATTCCCTTGAAGACCTGGTCGCGGTGCACAGATGCATTCACCTTCCTCAGGATGCCACGCTGCCGGTAAAACGCGGACAGTGGTGCCGTCATTTTCCGATACGCGTCCAAACGCGTGGCCAGTGTTGCGGCGTTGTCGTCACTTCGTTGTATCAATGGTTCACCAGTCACGTCGTCAGTGTTCGGTATTTTCGGAGGGTTAAACTTGACGTGATACGATCGGCCACTCGGCTTGTGGATCAGACGCCCGGTGATTCTCTCCATGAGCAAGTCTTCATCGACTGCCATTTCCACAACTGTGTCGATTGGCCTTCCCTTCTTGTACGTCATTGTTTCTAGTGCCTCTGCTTGCGGCAGGGTCCGCGGAAACCCGTCTAGAATATAGCCTTGAGCACATTCCGGCTGATCCAGGGCATGATCTATAATATCCACCATCAAGCTGTCACTCACAAGCTTACCATCGTCCATTGTTTTCTTCACCCGACGGCCGAGGTCTGACGGTTCAGACGCCACGGCACGAAGAAGATCTCCAGTCGACAAATGGCATGCACAGAACTTCTCCGCCAGCTTCGGTGCCTGCGTTCCTTTCCCAGATCCTGGGGGCCCCATCAGCACAGCATTCACACCCCTGCCATTGTAGTGTCCAGCGAAAAAGCAGGACAGGTGAAAAAAACTATGGTCCAACCGCCGCTGGTTTGGGGGCGGAGGGGACTCTTGAGTACTGGCCGCCGGTGCCATGATTGTCAAGCTGCCAAGCACTTCTCTTCGCAATCTTCAAACTATCACAAACGTAGCCCGTTTTTTTGGTGACAAGAAGAACGAGAACAAGTAGCTAGCTGCTAAATTTGTAGTACAGGCTGCATTACCTACATGTACACTGTAGACCGTAATAGTACAGTCTGCGATCTGTACTACTAGACTGTAGCTACAGCAAGCTCGCGTACTGACAATCCATGATGCGAAGGACTAAAGGGACCCTCACTTAATTTTTTGCCGACTACCCGCCAAAAAACACATTTCGACACGCGTGTGTGCTGGACGTCTGCGCGTGCACGACAAGACGTGTGAGCTGGCTGACAAGTGAGAGCCAGGGAGTCGTCAAGTACCGGCATTTGACGACTCCCGGCCTGGTGAGAGCATGCATGCATGCATGCATGTCCAGCTGGCGGGAAAGGGAACCTAAAATTGTAGATCGATGGGTTGAATGTGAAATTGTGGATCTACACGAGGTTTGTTTTGATGTTCTGATACTTGTTGTAATGGCTAGTGATCTTGCAAACGTTACTGTGACTTGTCCAAGTCCTACTGATATACCTTGTGAAATCAGATGCCCTGTAGTAGTCTTGGTGGAAGCAGACTGGAATGCGTTGAATTCGTAGCTTCTGAAATTGAAATTTATTTTTTCTTGAGTGACACTGACAAGCGATGGCATTGGCGACAGGAGAACTTTGCTTCCTTCCAGGAGAGCTGCATCGCAGTCGGATCCTGTCCATGCACATGCGATCATGCTGTGTTGTAGACAGTGGAGAGCTAATTTTGACCCAAGAAAATAGTTTTGAACATTCATGAAGAGGATTTTGTAGCTGTAGCTAGCTGACAGACATAGCCTGTGGCAGTGGTGTATGAAATCAGCTTGCAAGGTCTGCAGAGAAGGAGCTGAACTGCACACGCACTTGCTACTGCTCTCGCAAGATGATTGGCTTCTCTCCAGTGATCCAGCCCCCTCAACGCATGGATCCACTGCACTTTGTCGTCGAACACATCAACACGCCTGTTGACGTTCACTGGGAAGGTATCACTTCACGATGAGGAGCACACAGCACTCGTGGAGGCTTGTGCCGGATGAGTGGCTTCTCTCCAGTGATGCAGGCCACCTGGAGGCATCGGGCCAAGTGCGTTCTTTGCCGCAAGGGCCATATCAAAACAGCAACACCAGCAATGCCACCACTTCCCGACTTCAAGACAACTGGACCACATCAGTCATTTGCCATAATTAGTGTCGGCTATGTCATCCCCTTCTATGCACGCCAGGGTCGAGATCGGTCACAACTCAAAGATATATGCATGTGTGTTTACACTTTACATGCCTGCTGACTAGGGCTTGTCATTTCGAGGTTATCTCTGGACAACGACGGTTTTCTCCTGGCTCTTAGACCCCGATTCACCATGCGACGTGGTGTGCCACAAGAGATGCAATCGGACAACGGTACCAATTTCCGTGTGGCTGATCAAGAGGTAAAAGCAGCTGTCAAGTTTCTCGACAACTTCAGACAAGCAGCAGAAAGGTCATACCGCGACATTACCTGGTACTTCAAGCCACCAAGTGCACCACACTTTGGTGGTGTGTTCTAGGTAATGGCCAAGGCAATGAAACTAGTGCTGCATGAAGACCTTCAGCTGCTATTGCCACAACACTTTCTCATTGGCCATGCTAGGGCAACTGTTGCTGCTGAAGCCAACACATCTACAATGACTCAAGCTCACCCAAGAAAGCGCTGGGAGTTTGTGCAACGTATTGTAGATCAGGTATGGAAACGTTAGCTGAAAGAGATTGTTCCGAAGCTAAGCATCCAAGTGATGTGGTTGCTTTAACAGCATCACCCTAAGGAGATATCGTGCTTGTGATGGATAAGCACACCGCAACTGCACACTAGCCACTTGGACGTGTGCTTATGACCTATCCAGGTAAGGATGGTGCTGTTCGGATAGTAGAAGTTTAAGTAGCTGGGAAGGTATACAAGCATGCAGTTCATCATCTTGAGCCACAGGAAGTTAAAGGTGCAAGTACTGAGCGAACTGTGATTGTTTTCATATTCATAGTAAAGAAAAAAAGACCAAAGAACTACAAGTTATGCTATACTGTCCACTAACACCACCAGTTACTTGACAATCAGCTCATGCAATAGCAATAATTATAACATTGCACCAAACTGACCGACAGTACTGACGTTCTACAACAAACTGGCTACCAGTTCTAGCACGTCTTGTAGGTCCTTGGTCCTTTTCTTCCATCCGAGTTATCATATTCAATTGCCATTGTTTTTGTCATATTTTTCTTCTTGTTGTCTTCGTCTTTTACTCACTCATGTGATATTTATCACTTTTCTTTCACGAGGGAGATATGTTAGATTTAATCTCCTATTTCTGTGTAATTTACATGTACTACTGTGTTCAATGGTGGTGAACCACGATCATGCATTGATCATCATGAATGCATGTGACATGCGTCACAGATCTGGTTTCTACTGCTGGCATCTATTACGCCTGACTGCTTTCCGCCTTGGATTTGCATTCACAACTAAATGTACAATTATTTCTGCATGGCTACATGCATGTACGATGCAATGCTGTTAAAATTT